TTTTTCATTCCATATAATCCGATTTTGACTTTTTTTTTGAAAAATTTTCAGAAAATGTTTTCCCGGTTCTTGTCTTATTTGACGAGCAATAGGAAAAAAGACTTCTAATTCGTAATCCTCAAGAGATTTTCAGAAGACAATCACTTTTTCCCCTCTATCCGAATTCGTTTGAAAAATTTTATCAAAAGGAGTCTAGAACAGTCTAGTTTAACATTTGTTTGGATTTTTTCGTTATTTTTAAAAGCATCTTCCCATTTTTTCCGTTTTTTGAACAACTGTGTCAGAAGTTACTTCAGATTTATAATCTACTGCAGATTTTGTAGATTAAGTTAACATTTTTTTCTGTTCAATTTAGTACATTTTGAGATTTTTTTGAAAAATTTTTGGAAAATATTTTCTTACTTTTTCCGGAAATACCAAAAGCTATCATGAAAATTACTTCTGATTCCTAATAGAAGAAAAATTCTCTGCAAGATTGTCCTTTTTGTGTTTCAAATAGAAATCTGTTTAACTTCTTTTTGTTTTTATTTTTTTTGAAAATTAAAAAACATTAATTTTTTCGATTATTTGAACAGTTGTGGCAGAATTGACTTCAAATTCGTATTCTATAAGCGACTTTTTCTAAGATAATCATGATTTCATTGAGTTAGTTTTAACATTTTTCTCAAATAAGGCCTGTCTTAACATTTTTTGATTTTTTTTTCTGAAAACTTTTAAAAAACATCTTAACATTTTTTTCGGTTATGTGAATAACTATGGCCAAAGAGGGTTTCAGACTCGTAATCTACGAACGATTCCTTTCAAGATAGTAATATTTTTCATTCCATATAATCTCATTTTGACTTTTTTTTTGGAAAATTTTCAGAAAATGTTTTCCCAGTTTTTGTCTTATTTGCCGAGCAGTAGGAAAAAGACTTCAAATTCGTAATCCTCAAGAGATTTTTCCAAGACAATCACTTTTTCCCCTCTATCCGAATTCGTTTTAAAAATTTTATCAAAAGGAGTTTAGAAGAGTCTAGTTTAACATTTGTTTGGATGTTTTCGTTATTTTTAAAAGCATCTTCCCATTTTTCGGTTTTCTGAACAATTGTGCCAGAAGTTACTTCAAATTTATAATCTACTATAGATTCTGTAGACTAAGTTAACATTTTTTTCTGTTCAATTTAGTACATTTTGAGATTTTTTTGAAAAATTTTTGAAAAATATTTTCTTACTTTTTCCGGAAATACAAAAAGCTATCATGAAAATTACTTCTGATTCCTAATAGACGAAAAATTCTCTGCAAGATTGTCCTTTTTGTGTTTCAAATAGAACTCTTTTTAACTTCTTTTTATTTTTATTTTTTTGAAAATTAAAAAACATTAATGTTTTCGATTATTTGAACAGTTGTGGCAGAATTGACTTCAAATTCGTATTCTATAAGCGATTTTTTCTAAGATAATCATGATTTCATTGAGTTCGTTTTAACATTGTTCTCAAATAAGGCCTGTCTTAACATTCTTTGATTTTTTTTCTGAAAACTTTTAAAAAACATCTTAACATTTTTTTCGGTTATGTGAATAACTATGGCTAAAGAAGGTTTCAGACTCGTAATCTACGAACGATTCCTTTCAAGATAGTGTTGTTTTTCACTCCATATAATCTCATTTTGCCTTTTTTTTTGGAAACTTTTCAGAAAATGTTTTCCCAATTTTTGTCTTATTTGACGAGCAGTAGGAAAAAAGACTTCAAATTCGTAATCCTCAAGAGATTTTTCCAAGACAATCACTTTTTCCCCTCTATCCGCATGCCTTTTGAAAATTTTATCAAAAGGAGTCTAGAAGAGTCTAGTTTAACATTTGTTTGGATTTTTTCGTTATTTTTAAAAGCATCTTGCCATTTTTTCGGTTTTCTGAACAACTGTGTCAAAAGTTACTTCAGATTTATAATCTACTGTAGATTCTGTAGACTAGGTTAACGTTTTTTTCTATTCAATTTCGTACATTTTGAGATTTCTTTCAAAAATTTTTGGAAAATATTTTCTTACTTTTTCCGGAAATACAAAAGGCTATCATGAAAATACTTCTGATTCCTAATAGACGAAAAATTCTCTGCAAGATTGTCCTTTTTGTGTTTCAAATAAAACTCTGTTTAACTTCTTTTTATTGTTTTTTTAGAATATAAACATTAATTTTTTCGATTATTTGAACAGTTGTGGCAGAATTGACTTCAAATTCGTATTCTATAAGCGATTTTTTGTAAGATAATCATGATTTCATTAAGTTCGTTTTAACATTTTTCTCAAATAAGGCGTCTTAACATTTTTTGTTTTTTTTTTTTTTTTGAAAACTTAAAAATCATTTTAACATTTTTTTTCGGTTATGTGAACAACTATGGTTAGAGAAGCCTTGAGATTCGTAATCTACGAACGATTCTTTCCAAGATAGTAAAGTTTTTCATTCCATAATCCCTTTTTGACTTTTTTTTGGAAAATTTTCAGAAAATATTTTCCAAGTTTTTGTCTTATTTGACGCGCAATAGGAAAAAAGAGTCCTAATTCGTAATCCTCAAGAGATTTTTCCAAGACAATCAATTTTTCCCCTCTATCCGAATTCGTTTTAAAAATTTTTTCAAAAGGAGTCTAGAAGAGTATAGTTTAACATTTGTTTGGATTTTTTCGTTATTTTTAAAAGCATCTTCCCATTTTTTCGGTTTTCTGAACAACTGTGCTAGAAGCTACTTCAGATTTATAATCTACTGTAGATTCTGTGGACTAAGTTAACATTTTTTTCTGTTCAATTTAGTACATTTTGAGATTTTTTTTGAAAAATTTTGGAAAATATGTTCTTCCTTTTTCCGGAAATACAAAAAGCTATCATGAAAATTACTTCTGATTCCTAATGGACGAAAAATTCTCTGCAAGACAGTCCTTTTTGTGTTTCAAATAGAACTCTGTTTAACTTCTTTTAATTTTTTTTTTTTAGAAAATTAAAAACATTAATTTTTTCGATTATTTGAACAGTTGTGGCAGAATTAACTTCAAATTCGTATTCTAGAAGCGATTTTTTCTAAGATAATCATTATTTCATTGAGTTCGTTTTAACATTTTTTGATTTATTTTTTTTCAAAATTTTTAAAAAACATCTTAACATTTTTTTCGGTTATGTGAACAACTATGGCCAAAGAGGGTTTCAGACTCATAATCTACGAACGATTCCTTCCAAGATAGTCATGTTTTTCATTCCATATAATCCAATTTCGACTTTTTTTTTTGGAAAATTTTCAGAAAATATTTTCCCAGTTTTTGTCTAATTTGGTGAGCATTAGGAAAAAAGACTTCAAATTCGTAATCCTCAAGAGATTTTTCCAAGACAATCACTTTTTCCCCTCTGTCCGAATTCGTTTTAAAAATTTTATCAAAAGGAGTCTGGAAGAGTCTAGTTTAACATTTGTTTGGATTTTTTCGTTATTTTTAAAAGCATCTTCCCATTTTTTCGGTTTTCTGAACAACTGTGCCAGAAGTTACTTCAGATTTATAATTTACTATAGATTTTGTAGACTAAGTTGACATTTTTTTCTGTTCAATTTAGTACATTTTGAGATTTTTTTGAAAAATTTTTGGAAAATATTTTCTTACTTTTTCCGGAAATACAAAAAGCTATTATGAAAATTACTTCTGATTCCTAATAGACGAAAAATTCTCTGCAAGATTGTCCTTTTTGTGTTTCAAATAAAACTCTGTTTAACTTCTTTTTATTGTTTTTTTAGAAAATAAAAAACATTAATTTTTTCGATTATTTGAACAGTTGTGGCAGAATTGACTTCAAATTCGTATTATATAAGCGATTTTTTCTAAGATAATCATGATTTCATTAAGTTCGTTTTAACATTTTTCTCAAATAAGGCCTGTCGTAACATTTTTTGATTTTTTTTTTTGAAAACTTAAAAAGCATCTTAACATTTTTTTCGGTTATGTGAACAACTATGGTTAGAGAAGCCTTGATCTACGAACGATTCTTTCCAAGATAGTAATGTTTTTCATTCCATAATCCCTTTTTGACTTTTTTTTGGAAAATTTTCAGAAAATATTTTCCAAGTTTTTCTCTTATTTGACGCGCAATAGGGAAAAAGAGTTCTAATTCGTAATCGTCAAGAGATTTTTCCAAGACAATCATCTTATCCCTCTATTCGAATTCATTTTAAAATTTTTATCTAGAGTCTAGAAGAGTCTAGTTTAACATTTGTTTGGATTTTTTTGTAATTTTTGAAAGCATCTTCCCATTTTTTTGGTTAATTACTCCAGATTCACAATACACAAAAAATTTTCTGCAAGGTACTAATTTTTTGTTTCAAATAGAACTTTGCTTGACATTTTTTTTTGGATTATTTTAGAAAATTAAAAAAAACTTTTTTTTTTCGTTTACTTATGTGAACACAGCTATGGCCCGAAAGCACGTCAGATTCGTAATCTACGAATGATTTTTTCCTTTTTTTTGTGGGAAATTTTGGAAAACGTTTTCCCAGTTTTTTTTTTCTTCTTATTTAAATAGCAATAGGAAAAATAACTTCAAATCTGTAATCTACAAACGACTTTTCATAATGTAATAATTTTTTGATTCTACGTGCGCTCATTTTTTGGATTTTTTTTTATAAAAAATGTTTCCATTTTTTTGGTTTTTTGAATTTTTTTTTGAAAACATTTTTAGAAAATGAATGCTCACTTTTTCGGAAGTTCATAAATTTGTAACCAAAATTATTCAAGGTCTGTAATCCACGAAAAATTCTCTGTATGAGTTTTTAATAAAACTGTTTCAACATTTTTTTTTCTAATATTTTTTGCCCATTTAAATAGATTGAACAAAAATCGAATCTGTAGCATATAAACGCAAAAACTCTAATAAATCTTAAATCGGGTCTGTTGGTCACCTTATCTTTGCGCACACCCGCGTTAAGTAGGTCGCGTCGATCCGAAGCCGGCCCTGTGCGCCCGTCGAACTCTGCTGATCCGGTCCCATCCGCAGGCACTATGCACAGAAACGTACCACAGCACTGACATGCAGATCTCGGAGGCGGCCGGCGGCGCCCCGGCGGCGGGGGCGGAGCCGTGCAGGTTCCCCAAGCTGGAGGAGTGCGCCCATTTCCACTACGAGAGGGTGCAGTTGCCGAAGCTGACCATCACGCTGCAGACGAACATCGACCAGTCGTTGCATTCGCAGCACAGTGAGTCACATTGGACGCAACGAAACCGGACGATGGCCTTATGTATATGTTTTTTAATTTCCAGCGAATGACGACGAGGACATGGACTGGTACATGGTGCAGGTGACGTCGGGGGATGAGTGCTGGTTGCTGCAGAGGAATCTGGAGAACTTCAAAATGCTGGACGATCAGCTGCACCAGTGTATCTACGACAGGAAGATTTTTCAGCTGCCGGACTTGGCCAGGCTGGAGCTGGAGGACGAGGAGTTGGAGGTATAGGCGGCGACGTCAAAAATTGTCCGTTGAGTTGAAAAATATGTATACTTTCCGCAGACGAAACTGCAAGCTTATCTCGAAAGATTCAGCGACATCGCCGACAACTCCCTGAACTGCGGTCCGGTCCTGAACTGGTTGCAGATGGACAACAAAGGTCACCGCCTCCTCGTCCCGAGCGAAGAAAGCCGCTCCATCAACACCCCGGCGGTGGCGGCGGCCTACAGCGTCCGAAGATACGTCTCCCAGGTACTTATTCCCCGAAAAAGTCGATATATCGACTCCCGAATGAAATTTCAGGCCCGCGACGAGCTGAATCTCGAAGTCGGCGACATGATCTCCGTAATAGATATGGCAAGTCCGGGCGAATCGATGTGGTGGCGAGGCAAACGAGGCTTCCAGGTCGGCTTCTTCCCCCAGCACTGCGTACACATAATCGGCGACAAGGTGCCAAGGAACATGCCGCTTCCGCCGCCGGTTGTCGGGTTAGTGTGATCCAGGTGGCGACGTTATCGAAATTAAGCGTCTGTTCTGTGCAGATCGTTGGCTCTGACCCCCATCAAGCCCGTGCTGAGGAAACACGGCAAGCTGATCACCTTCTTCAGGAGCTTCATTCTGAACCGGCCGTCGAGGAGGCGGCTGAAGCAGTCCGGGATTCTGAAGGAGAGGGTGTTCGGCTGCGACCTGGGGGAGCATTTGTTGAACTCCGGACACGATATCCCGATGGTGCTGAAGTGCTGCGCGGAGTTCATAGAGAGCCACGGGATCGTGGACGGGATTTACAGGCTGAGCGGGGTCACGTCCAATATCCAGAAGCTGAGGAACGCGTTCGACGAGGACAGGATACCGAATTTGTACACGGAGGATATCCTCCAGGATATACACTCGGTGGCGTCGTTGCTGAAGATGTACTTCAGGTAAGGGTTTGGTTACATTAATAGAGCTTTCTATTACTTCCCGAGCGTAAGCGAATAGTCTAGAGTACGAAAAAAGTAGGCTCTAAAAAACATTTGCAAGGTATAATAACGTTTTGTTCCCGACACGGTTTGAACTTCTCCACAGATCATGCGTTCTTTTTTCTTGCATTCTCTGTGACTACTCTTCTTTTATGCTGTGACTAGAAATATCCATGTAGATGACATTATCACAAATTTTACGCACTTCTTTATATAATAGTGACAAAATGAGAATTATAGTGTTCAGAATGTTTTGTTCGATTGTGGTTTAATTAATAATTATAGTCCTGTTTTGAGAAGACAAACTCATTCAAATCAAAGTAACTTCTACGTGACATTCTTTCGATGTATAAACATAAATAAACACTTGAGCTTCAGATTGCTATTACCTACTGCTGAAGCTCAAGGGGATGTTGTTTATGCCTCTGGTTTTTACTTTACAGCGGTTATCACAAAACGAAAATCGTAAAATCAAATTGTTATTCAAAATTTATCTGTTTACTCCCCCAAAAAATTGATGACGTCATCTCAAAATTTTGCTAAATAAATTGTACCCAAAATGTGCAAAATATGGGGATAATTTATTATTGCATTAATATTTTTTAGATTTGCTTAAACAGATTTCTACTTTTTTTTCAGTTATTTAATTTTTGTTTTTTTTTTATTTCTGGATTAATCAATTTTTCGACTTATCGTTTTACCCATTTCTTGATTTTTCAGTTTTTCAATTCTTCGATTTTTTCAATTTTTAATTTTTTCGATATTTCAGGTTTTTAATCTTCAATTTTTCAGTTTTTCGATTTTTCGACTTTTCGAATTTTTCAAATTTTCAATTTCTTAATTTTTCAATGTTTCAGTTTAGGGATTTCTCAGTTTTCAATTCTTCAATTTCTCTTCGATTTTAAAATTTCCAATTTTTCAATGTTTTTGATTTTTTGGTTTTTTGTTTTTTCAGCTCCTTGATTTTTTGATTTCTTAGTTTTTCGATATTTCAATTTTAGGATTTTGTGGTTATTTGATTCTACTTTTTTTTCAATTATTTAATTATTGGATTCTTGAAGTTTTCGATTTCTCGATTAATGGGTTTTTCGACTTATCGTTTTTCCCATTTCTCGATTTCCCGACTTTCCGATGTTTCGATTTCCCGACTTCTTGTTTTTTCGATTTTTCACTTTTTCAATTCTTCAATTTTTCAATTTTTTATTTTTTTGATTTTTCAGTTTTTCGATTTTTCGACTTTTCGAATTTTTCATTGTTTCAATTTAGGGATTTTTCAGTTTTCAATTCTTCAATTTCTCTTCGGTTTTAAAATGTTCAATTTTTCAATATTTTTGATTTTTCGGCTTTTTTCGGCTTCTCGATTTTTTGATTTCTCAGTTTTTCGATATTTCTATTTTAGGATTTTGTGTTTTTTTTTCAATTATTTAATTATTGGATTCTTGAATTTTTCGATTTTTCGATTTCTAGATTAATGGGTTTTTCGACTTATCGTTTATCCCATTTCTCAATTTCCCGACTTCTTGTTTTTTCGATTTTTCACTTTTTCAATTCTCCAATTTTTCAATTTTTAATTTTTTTGATTTTTCAGTTTTTCGATTTTTCGACTTTTCGAATTTTTCAAATTTTCAATTTCTTAATTTTTCAATGTTTCAGTTTAGGGATTTTTCAGTTTTCAATTCTTCAATTTCTCTTCGGTTTTAAAATTTTTCAATATTTCAATATTTTTGATTTTTCGGCTTTTTTCGGCTCCTCGATTTTTTGATTTTTCAGTTTTTCGATATTTAAATTTTAGGATTTTTGTTGTTTGATTCTACTTTTTTTTCAATTATTTAATTATTGGATTCTTAAATTTTTCGATTTTCCGATTTCTCGATTAATGGACTTTTCGACTTTTCGTTTTTCCCATTTCTCGATTTCCCGACTTTCCATTGGATTTCTCGACCTCTTGTTTTTTCCATTTTTCAGTTTTTCAATTCTTCGATTTTTCACATTTTCAATTTCTTAATTTTTCAATGTTTCAGTTTAGGGATTTTTCAGTTATCAATTCTTGAATTTCTTTTCGATTTAATTTAAGATTTTTTGATTTCCCGATTTTTCAATTTTTGGTTTTCTCAATTTTTCGGTATTTTAGTTTTAGGATTTTGTGGTTATTTATATATTTTTTTTTCAATTATTCAGTTATGGATTCTTGAATTTTTCGATTTTTTGGTTTCTCGATTAATGGATCTTTCGACTTATCGTTTTTTCCATTTCTCGATTTCTCGACTTTATGATGTTTCGATTTCCCGACTTATTGTTTTTTCGATTTTTCACTTTTTTGGTTCCTCAGTTTTTCAATTTTTTATTTTTTTGATTTTTCAGTTTTTCGATTTTTCGACTTTTCGAATTTCTCAAATTTTCAATTTCTTAATTTTTCATTGTTTCAGTTTTGAGATTTTTCAGTTTTCAATTCTTCAATTTCTCTTCGGTTTTAAAATTTTCAATTTTTCAATATTTTTTATTTTTCGGTTTTTTCGGCTCCTCGATTTTTTGATTTCTCAGTTTTTCGATATTTCAATTTTAGGAGTTTTGTGGTTATTTGATTCTACTTTTTTTCAATTATTTAATTATTGGATTCTTGAATTTTTCGATTTTTCGATTTCTCGATTAATGGATTTTTCGATTTCCCGACTTCCTGTTTTTTCGATTTTGCACTTTTTCAATTCTTCAATTTTGCAATTTTTAATTTTTTCGATTTTTCAGTTTTTCGATTTTTCGACTTTTCGAAGTTTTCAAATTTTCAATTTCTTAATTTTTCATTGTTTCAGTTTAGGGATTTTTCAGTTTTCAATTCTTCAATTTTTCTTCGGTTTTAAAATTTTCAATTTTTCAATATTTTTTATTTTTCGGTTTTTTTCGGCTCCTCGATTTTTTGATTTCTCAGTTTTTCGATATTTCAATTTTAGGATTTTGTGGTTATTTGATTCTACGTTTTTTTTTCAATTATTTAATTATCGGATTCTTAAATTTTTCGATTTTTTGATTTCTGGATTAATGGATTTTTCGACTTATCGTTTTTCCCATTTCTCGATTTCCCGACTTTCCATTGGATTTCTCGACCTTTTGTTTTTTGTATTTTTCAGTTTTTCAATTCTTCGATATTTCACATTTTCAATGACTTAATTTTTCAATGTTTCAGTTTAGGGACTTTTCAGTTATCAATTCTTGAATTTCTTTTCGATTTAATTCTTCGGTTTTTTGTTCTTTCGGCTCTCCGATTTTTTGATTTCCCGATTTTTCAATTTTCGGTTTCTCAATTTTTCGGTATTTTAGTTTTAGGATTTTGTGGTTATTTATATTATTAGTTTTTTTTCAATTATTCAATTTTTCGATTTTTCGATTTCTCCATTAATCGGTTCTTCCACTTATCGTTTTTCCCATTTCTCGATTTCCCGACTTTCCGATGTTTCGATTTCCCTACTTCTTGTTTTTTAGATTTTTCAGTTTTTCAATTTTTGACTTTTTCAATTTTTAATTTTTTCGATTTTTCAGGTTTTCAATTTCCTAATTTTTCAATGTTTCAGTTTAGGGATTTTTCAGTTTTCAATTTTTCAATTTCTCTTCGATTTTTTAATTTTCGATTTTTCAGTTTTTCGAAATTTTAATTTTTAAATTTTTTTAAATTTTAAAATTCTAGATTTCTGGATTTTTCGATTTTTCGATTTTCACTTCTTTGATTTTTCTATTTTGCAATTTTTCGAATTTTTAAATTAGAGATTTTTTCACTGTTTCTATTTTTCGACTTCTCGGTTTCGGATTTTTCAATTTTACAATTTTCCAACACTTCACTTTTGGGATTTTTCAGTTTTTCATTTTTTTTTTGGTTTTTCCATTTTTCGATTTTTTAAATTACACATTTTTCGAAATTTCTTTTAATTCTACGCTTTTAGGATTTTTGATCTCCCGAATCTTTCATTTTATTAAATTTCAATTTTTTGGATTTTTAAATTTTTTAGTTTTTTCCATTTTTCGATTTTTCGAAATTTCTTTGAATTTTACGTTTTTGGGATTTTTGATTTCCCAAATCTCTCAATTTTTAATATTTAAATATTTCGATTTTTCAGGTTTTTGATTTTCCAATTTTTCGATGTTTGAAATTTTAAATTTTGCAATTTTTCGAGTTTTTAAATTTCAGATTTTTTTCATATTTTTAATGTTTTGATTCCTCAATCTTTCGATTTTTCGACTCCTCGGTTTTGGATTTTTCGATTTTCCATTTTTTCAATATTTCACTTTTGGGATTTTTCAATTTTTTGGTTTTTCCATTTTTCGATTTTTTGAATTACACATTTTTCGAAATTTCTTTCAATTTTATGCTTTTAGGATTTTTGATCTCCCGAATCTTTCATTTTTTAATATTTAAATATTTCAGTTTTTTGATTTTTCAGGTTTTTGATTTTTCAATTTTTCAATGTTTCAGTTTAGGGATTTTTCATCATTCTGTTTTTTTCAATTTTTCTTAGACTTTTAGATTTTTCAAATTATCGATTTTTGAAATTCTAGATTTTGCAATTTTTCGAGTTTTTGAATTTTAGGTTATTTCACTTTTTTAACGTTTTGACTTCTTGATCTTTCGATTTTTCGATTTCTCGGTTTTGGATTTTTCGATTTTCCAATTTTTCAACATTTCACTTTTGGGATTTTTCAATTTTATGCTTTTAGGATTTTCGATCTCTCGAATCTTTCATTTTTTAATATTTAAATATTTCGATTTTCAGGTTTTTGATTTTTCAATTTTTTTTAGACTTAGATTTTTTAATTTATCGATTTTTGAAATTTTAAATTTTGCAATTTTTCCAGTTTTTAAATTTTAGAGTTTTTCACTTTTTTAATGTTTTGATTCCTCAATCTTTCGATTTTTCGGCTCCTTGGTTTTGGATTTTTCGATTTTCCATTTTTTCAATACTTCACTTTTGGGATTTTTGAATTTTTCGATTTTTCGATTTTTTTGGTTTTTCCATTTTTCGATTTTTTCAATTACACATTTTTCGAAATTTCTTTCAGTTTTATGCTTTTAGGATTTTCGATCTCCCGAATCTTTCTTTTTTTAATATTTAAATATTTCAGTTTTTCGATTTTTCAGGTTTTTGAATTTTCAATTTTTCGATGTTTCATTTTGGGAATTTTTCATTTTTCTGTTTTTTCAATTTTTCTAAGACGTTTACATTTTTCAATTTATCGATTTTTGAAATTTTAAATTTTGCAATTTGTCGAGTTTTTAAATTTTAGATATTTTCAGTTTTTTAACGTTTTGATTCCTGAATCTTTCGATTTTTCGTCTCCTCGGTTTTGGATTTTTCGATTTTCCATTTTTTCAATATTTCACTTTTTGGATTTTTCAATTTTTCGATTTTTCATTTTTTTGGTTTTTCTATTTTTCGATTTTTTAAATTACACATTTTTCGAAATTTCTTTTAATTTTACGCTTTCAAGATTTTTGATCTCCCGAATCTTTCATTTTTTAATATTTCAATTTTTCGGTTTTTTAACATTGCGCTTTTGGGATTTTTCAATTTTTTAGATTTTTGATTTTTTTTGTTTTTTCCATTTTTCGATTTTTCGAAATTTCTTTGATTTTATGTTTTTAGGATTTTTGATTTCCCTATTCTTTCATTTTTTAATATTTAAATATTTCGATTTTTCAGGTTTTTGATTTTTCAATTTTTCGATGTTTCAGTTTAGGGATTTTTCGTCTTTCTGTTTCTTCAATTGTGCTTAGACTTTTAGATTTTTCAATTTATCGATTTTTGAAGTTTTAAATTTTGCAATTTTTCGAGTTTTTAAATTTTAGATTTTTTCAGTATTTTAACGTTTTGATTCCTCAATATTTCGATTTTTCGACTCCTTGGTTTTGGATTTTTCGATTTTCCATTTTTTCAATATTTCACTTTTTGGATTTTTCAATTTTTCGATTTTTCGATTTTTTTGGTTTCTCCATTTTTCGATTTTTTGAATTACACATTTTTCGAAATTTCTTTCAATTTTATGCTTTTAGGATTTTCGATCTCCTGAATCTGTCATCTTTTAATATTTAAATATTTCAGTTTTCGATTTTTCAGGTTTTTGATTTTTCACTTTTTTAACGTTTTGATTTCTTGATCTCTCGATTTTTCGATTTTCTGATTTTTCAATATTTCACTTTTGGAATTTTTCTTTTTTTTTTTAGATTTTTCAATTTTTTGTTTTTTTGATTTTTAGATTTTTTAAATAACACAGTTTTCGAAATTTCTTTCAATTTTACGCTTTTAGGATTTTTGGTCTCCCGAATCTTTCATTTTTTACTATTTAAACATTTCAGTTTTTCAATTTTTCGATTTTTCATGTTTTTGATTTTTCAATTTTTCGATGTTTCAGTTTAGGGATTTTTCAGTTTATCGATTTTTGAAATTTTTGATTTTGCAATTTTTCGAATTTTTAAATTTTAGATTTTTTCAATTTTTTAACGTTTTGATTCCTCGATCTTTCGATTTTTCGACTTCTCAGTTTTGGATTTTTCGATTTTCCAATTTTTCAACATCTCACTTTTGGGCTTTTTCAATTTTTTAGATTTTTCAATTTTTTAAATTATACATTTTTCGAAACTTCATTCAATTTTACGCCTTTAAAATTTTTGATCTCCCGAATCTTTCATTTTTTAATACTTAAATATTTCAGTTTTTCAGTTTTTCGATTTTTCAGATTTTTGATTTTTCAATTTTTCGATGTTTCAATTTAGGGATTTTTCATCTTTCTGTTTCTTCAATTTATTTTATACTTTAGGATTTTTCGGTTTTTCAATTTTTCAATTTTCCGGTTTTGATGTTTCGATTTCTCAAATTTTCAGTTTTTGATTTTTCAAATTTCGATTTTTAATTCTTCGATTTCTTAAATTTTAGATTTTTACGTTCCGAGCGCAAACTAAAGAAGTATAGTAATCGAGTCCATCGGCCGAATTGCCACATTCATATTTTCTCGACGTATATGACCTCAAAAGTACGAAACAAAGTTGTCTCCCGTTTCCGTCCGTCTATCTGTTTGTCTGTCTGGTGTCTGTATCCATTTTTATTGCACCAGTAATCTCCGAAACTACTTGACCGATAGTTGTCCCACCACCAATGGCATGACGTCATCTCTAAAATTTATAAGAATTTTTTTTTAATTTTATACAATAAGGTAATTTGTGCTGTCGAATTTTCACCTTAAACATACAGATTTTTTTTGAAAAAAATCCAAAACTGAATAACAATAGTTTTCAGTATAATTTTGAAAGTGCAAAACCGATTGCTGTGAAATCTTGTAAGTATGGTAAATCGAAAATTATTCGTTTATCCCCTCCCAAAAAATGGATGACGTCATCTCAAAATTTTGCCGAATAAATCCCATTCAAAATATGATGAGTCTATACTTCTTATTTATCATTGCAATAAAAGTTTTTAAATTTCTTATACAGGGTGACTCATAAAAATTAATGAATGAGTCAATTTATTATATTGATTAATAACCTTCGACCAATTTTTTTTTATTTTATTGTCAGCACCCAGCAGCGAGGGGTATTAGACTTCTCCGCTTCCTCCCTGCGGGTTTTCATAATTCTGTAGCCACTTGGCTTGAATTCGAAACGACAACTTTTAGTCTGTATTTAATTTATTGCGGGCAGATTGTATAATTTTTTTAATTAAAAACTACACAATAGACATGAATCTAAATACGTTGATGTTCCCCATGTATTTAAGATAGGACGAAACGATATCGGACACGCCCCTTGTGACACGAGATTACAGGCAACCAACCACAACACATCTTTAGTGATAAAGATGTTTTACTGCTTTAATGCTCGAGTAAGCACATTTGCGGTATCAACATTATTATTTTTCCGATGGTTGCGATGGGCTAACTCAACTTTTACTATTAATTTCAAAGAAAGTTTATTTCATGTACCAAAATTATAAAATCGTGATTAAAAATAAATACTCATAAATAATAGCCATGATTATTATTTACAACTAAGTAACTAACGGGTCGGGAAAGCTTCCACCAGATGCTCCAAATTACACGTTGCCAGTTTTGGGTCGAAAACCAGTGAACTTGGACACGTCGCCACCACTTCTTTACCATTAACACATCGTATATATTTTCGTGGGTTGCTAAGAACCGGAAGGTAGATGGTTGCGTCTTGACACTCCACATTGGGACAGGGGTTTGGTGGTTGCGTTGGCGCTGCTGTCGTGGTTTTATAGGAATCGTCACAACCAGCATCCCATGGCCAATCACAAACTTCTAGTTCTTTATTGAAGTGGAGATCATCTGGACAGTCGAATTCTACCTTGATTCCATTGTCGCATTTGTAGAATTTGGTGCAGTCGTCTTCGTGTGGTAGATGGACTGTGTAGTTCAGTGGGTCGGGCCATGGACAATCTGGGTCCTTGTTTGGTGGAGGTGTTGGTTTAGGAGTTGTGGGCTTAGTTGGTTTACTTGTAGGCTTAGTTGGTTTACTTGTAGGCTTAGGAGTTTTATAGGAATCATCACAACCAGCATCCCATGGCCAATCACAAACTTCCAATTCTTTATTGAAGTGGAGATCATCTGGACAGTCGAATTCTACCTTGATTCCATTGTCGCATTTATAGAATTTGGTACAATCGTCTTCGTGTGGTAGATGGACTGTGTAGTTCAATGGGTCGGGCCATGGGCAATCTGGGTCCTTGTTTGGTGGGGGCGTGGGTTTAGGAGTTGTGGGCTTAGTTGGTTTATTTGTAGGCTTAGTTGGTTTACTTGTAGGCTTAGGAGTTTTATAGGAATCATCACAACCAGCATCCCATGGCCAATCACAAACTTGTAATTCTTTATTGAAGTGTAGATCATCTGGACAGTCGAATTCTACCTTGATTCCATTGTCGCATTTGTAGAATTTGGTGCAGTCGTCTTCATGGGGCAAATGGACTGTGTAGTTCAATGGATCTGGCCATGGACAATCTGGGTCCTTGTTTGGTGGAGGTGTTGGTTTAGGAGTTGTGGGCTTAGTTGGTTTACTTGTAGGCTTAGGAGTTTTATAGGAATCATCACAACCAGCATCCCATGGCCAATCACAAACTTCCAATTCTTTATTGAAGTGGAGATCATCTGGACAGTCGAATTCTACCTTGACTCCATTGTCGCATTTGTAGAATTTGGTACAATCGTCTTCGTGTGGTAGATGGACTGTGTAGTTCAATGGGTCGGGCCATGGGCAATCTGGGTCCTTGTTTGGTGGGGGCGTGGGTTTAGGAGTTGTGGGCTTAGTTGGTTTATTTGTAGGCTTAGTTGGTTTACTTGTAGGCTTAGGAGTTTTATAGGAATCATCACAACCAGCATCCCATGGCCAATCACAAACTTCCAATTCTTTATTGAAGTGGAGATCATCTGGACAGTCGAATTCTACCTTGATTCCATTGTCGCATTTGTAGAATTTGGTACAATCGTCTTCGTGTGGTAGGTGGACTGTGTAGTTCAATGGGTCGGGCCATGGGCAATCTGGGTCCTTGTTTGGTGGGGGCGTGGGTTTAGGAGTTGTGGGCTTAGTTGGTTTATTTGTAGGCTTAGTTGGTTTACTTGTAGGCTTAGGAGTTTTATAGGAATCATCACAACCAGCATCCCATGGCCAATCACAAACTTCCAATTCTTTATTGAAGTGGAGATCATCTGGACAGTCGAATTCTACCTTGACTCCATTGTCGCATTTGTAGAATTTGGTACAATCGTCTTCGTGTGGTAGATGGACTGTGTAGTTCAATGGGTCGGGCCATGGGCAATCTGGGTCCTTGTTTGGTGGGGGCGTGGGTTTAGGAGTTGTGGGCTTAGTTGGTTTATTTGTAGGCTTAGTTGGTTTACTTGTAGGCTTAGGAGTTTTATAGGAATCATCACAACCAGCATCCCATGGCCAATCACAAACTTCCAATTCTTTATTGAAGTGGAGATCATCTGGACAGTCGAATTCTACCTTGATTCCATTGTCGCATTTGTAGAATTTGGTACAATCGTCTTCGTGTGGTAGGTGGACTGTGTAGTTCAATGGGTCGGGCCATGGGCAATCTGGGTCCTTGTTTGGTGGGGGCGTGGGTTTAGGAGTTGTGGGCTTAGTTGGTTTATTTGTAGGCTTAGTTGGTTTACTTGTAGGCTTAGGAGTTTTATAGGAATCATCACAACCAGCATCCCATGGCCAATCACAAACTTCCAATTCTTTATTGAAGTGGAGATCATCTGGACAGTCGAATTCTACCTTGATTCCATTGTCGCATTTATAGAATTTGGTACAATCGTCTTCGTGTGGTAGATGGACTGTGTAGTTCAATGGGTCGGGCCATGGGCAATCTGGGTCCTTGTTTGGTGGGGGCGTGGGTTTTGGCGTTGTGGGATTAGTTGGTTTACTTGTAGGCTTAGGAGTTTTATAGGAATCATCACAACCAGCATCCCATGGCCAATCACAAACTTCCAATTCTTTATTGAAGTGGAGATCATCTGGACAGTCGAATTCTACCTTGATTCCATTGTCGCATTTGTAGAATTTGGTGCAGTCGTCTTCGTGTGGTAGATGGACTGTGTAGTTCAATGGGTCGGGCCATGGGCAATCTGGGTCCTTGTTTGGTGGGGGCGTGGGTTTTGGCGTTGTGGGCTTAGTTGGTTTACTTGTAGGCTTAGGAGTTTTATAGGAATCATCACAACCAGCATCCCATGGCCAATCACAAACTTCCAATTCTTTATTGAAATGGAGATCATCTGGACAGTCGAATTCTACCTTGATTCCATTATCACATTTGTAGAATTTGGTACAGTCGTCTTCATGGGGCAAATGGACAGTGTAGTTCAATGGATCTGGCCATGGACAATCTGGGTCCTTGTTTGGTGGGGGCGTTGGTTTTGGCGTTGGTTTAGGAGTTGCTTTACTTGTAGGCTTAGGAGTAGGCGCTGCTGTCGTAGTTTTATAGGAATCGTCACAACCAGCATTCCACGCCCAATCACAAACCCCCAATTCCTTATTGAAGTGGAGACCATCGTTACATTGGAATTCCACTTTGACTCCATTGTCACATTTGTAGAATTTCGTGCAGTCGTCTTCGTGGGGTAAATGAACCGTATGGTCTAAAGGATCGGGCCAGGGACACTCCGGGTCCCTATTTGGTGGTTCAGGGTTCGGCGCAGAAGTCGACTGTTGCCCAATCGTGCACCCAGCTTGTTCCGGCCAATCACAAACTTGCAAAACTGGGTTGAAATGAAGAGTGTCCGGACAGTCGAACAGCACCCGTTCGCCGTGGTCGCATTTGTAGAATTTTGTGCAGTCGGATTCGTGCTGAAGATGGACTGTGTAGTTTAACGGGTCTACGGCGGGGCACTCAGTCGGAATGGGCCATATTTCGGTATCACCAGCCTCTGTGGACAAATTCGCGTGTTATTTTAACTCATTTTACCACGTGGTGTATGTATGGTCAGTTCAGCCGGAAAAGACAGCAACTTGTCTTTAAACATACCTAAGCCGCTGATTTGGAAAGCCACCAACAACACCGCTACAGTGATGGCTCGGTAGCCTTTAGTCATCGCGATCGTTTGTCGCTTATCTATTACTATACTACAGCACTTGTGCACTTATAGTAACAAATCGACACTCACTTGTACCAACCGAACGTTTCTCGATACCTTTTATACCTTCACAATACCTGCTATCAGTTCATAATCCCCCAACAATAAAATTCGCGATAAAAGCAGAAATAGTATTTACTCAGCGCACGCTTTCAAACCAACAATTAAGAGATTACTTTATGATTCGTTTATCTTTTTTCTAAATACAGTTTTGTCAATACTAATCGATTTATGATGACTTTTTGAATGGATTCGACTTTTGACGCAAAGTTATAAATTAAGATTTTTCCATTAATCACTGGCGTTTTGTCACAGGAAGTTGCCTCTTATATGTTAGAATTAAGTAACAAATTGTCTTCCAGGGAACTCCCTAACCCCTTGTGCACCTATCAGCTGTACCAGAGCTTCGTGAACGCGGTCCAGGGTTGCAACTCGGCAATCCGGAACTCGGAGAGCGACCACGATAGGTTACTGAAGATGCGCGAGGCAGTGCAGAAACTTCCGCCGCCTCATTATAGGTACGCAGCGCCTAAATTACATTTACACGGTGCTGATTGGCTTTCGCAGAACCCTAGAGTATCTCATGAGGCACCTGGCCCGAGTCGCTAAGCACGGGGCCAACACGGGCATGACCACCAGGAACGTGGCCATCGTGTGGGCCCCCAATCTCCTCCGTTGCGCCGAGCTGGAGGTGGGCGGGGTGGCGGCGCTGCAGGGGGTGGGAGTCCAGGTGAGTAATTTTTATCAAAAATCGTTAAAATCCAATTATTCCTTGTGTCATTATTGCGCAACGCGCACTGACCATAAACTGATTCACGCCTTCTTCGAACCCATTATTTACCTCATTCCAACGTCGACTCCTTATCTCTTTCACAATCAATTATTCTCGATAAACCTGTGACAGGAAGCTGGATTAAGGTTTTATTTTTTTCTGTCATCGTTCGACGAGGATTTCACGTAATTTATTGTTCTGTTGATCAAGGCGGTTGTGACGGAATTCCTAATATGCTACGCCCACTTGATCTTCAGCGACCATCTCCCGAATTTAGATCTTCCGATTGCTGAGGTCGAGAATAATCAGTCGCCGAAGAAGTGTCGGCCGAAGAGTCTGGCGATCTCGACGCCGACGAAGTTGATCACGTTGGAGGAGGCGAGGACCAAGCATTTGTTGAGCAAGAATGAGGAGTGCAATTACATCGAGGTGGGCGGTGGCCCGAAGAATCTGCCGAAGAAGTATCATACGGTCATCGAGCTGCCGTCAGGTAGATTTTGGGGGAGCGTGAACACCACCTGCGGGTTTTAGTAATTTTAGGCGGTGTGAAAAAGGTCTGGGCGGGTGTAAAACGGGCTTAGAAACGTCATTTTTGACGTTGACGTTTGAAAGGTTAGGAAAAGTTGGCTCTGGAAAAGTGAATTTTAGTCCGAAGTGACAGTTTTATCGTTGAAAAAAAGAGGCAAATTTTATAAAAATGTTTTAAAGCGTTGCCAACTCTCAACATACGAAATTAAAAAGATAATTTGTCAATTTTTGACACTTAAAACTGCTTATTATTTGTGTGAAAAGGATTTTAATTGGAATTTTTCAAAACAGTTTACCAATTCTGAAAATCAATTTGTTTACATGGTTTTATTATGTAAAAACGACTTCGTTTATTGTGGATCGGGTTTTAGGATAACCTAATATTTATGTCAAAAAAAAGTATGGTCAATACACGAAAAATTAGCTTTGTAAAAAGGGTCTGCGCAGTGTAAAACGGGCTTTACTTTAAGGTGAATTTTGTAGATTAAAAATGCGACCTTAGTGCAAGATCCAAAATAAAAAAAAAAAGATATGAAAACGATGTCAGAAATTATGAAACAATATATTTAGTTTTGACATTTTGAAGTGGGGTTAGAATTATTGAAAAGTTTGTTTCTTTTTGACATTTTGAAGTGTTGCCAATCCTAAAATTAAAAAATAAAAAAACATGTTTAGTTCTCAATGTGTCAATATTTGACATTTAAAAGTGCTTGAAGTTTGTTAAGTTACCAACAAGATTTGTATAAATTCAGCTGTGTAAAAGCGACTTAAGCTGTCTGGAAACGGTTTTAGTTCCAATTGTCGAAACAGTGTTACCAACTCTGAAGATGACATTTTATATAGGAACACTACACAAAAAATTAGCTTTGTAAAAAGGATCTGCGCAGTGTAAAACGGGCTTTACTTTAAGGTGAATTTTGTAGATTAAAAATGCGAACTTAGTGCAAAATACAAAATAAAAAAAAAAGATATGAAAACGGTGTCAGAAATTATGAAACAATATATTTATTTTTGACATTTTGAAAGATTTCCAAACCTGAAAATGAGAAAATCAATAAAATGTTTGTATAAAAGTGGCGTTAGAATTATTGAAAAGTTTGTTTCTTTTTGACATTTTGAAGTGTTACAAATCCTAAAATTAAAAAATAAAAAAAATATGTTGAGTTCTCAATGTGTCAATATTTGACATTTAAAAGTGCTTGAAGTTTGTTAAGTTACCAACAAGATTTGTATAAATTCAGCTGTGTAAAAGCGACTTAAGCTGTCTGGAAACGGTTTTAGTTCGAATTTTTGAAACAGTATTACCAACTCTGAAGATGAAATTTTATATAGGGACAACACGAAAAATTAGCTTTGTAAAAAGGGCCTGCGCAGTGTAAAACGGCCTTTACTTTAAGGTGAATTTTGTAGATTAAAAATGCGACCTTAGTGCAAGATCCAAAATAAAAAAAAAAGATATGAAAACGATGTCAGAAATTATGAAACAATATATTTATTTCTGACATTTTGAAAGATTTCCAAACCTGAAAATGAGAAAAACAATAAAATGTTTGTATAAAAGTGGGGTTAGAATTATTGAAAAGTTTGTTTCTTTTTGACATTTTGAAGTGTTGCCAATCCTAAAATAAAAAATAGGTTCAGTTCGCAATGTGTCAATATTTGACATTTAAAAGTGCTTGAAGTTTATTAAATTATAAACAAGATTTATATAAATTCAGCTGTGTAAAAGCGACTTAAGCTGTCTGGAAACGGTTTTGGTTCGAATTTTCGAAACAGTATTACCAACTCTGACGATGAAATTTTATATAGGGACACTACACGAAAAATTAGTTTTGTAAAAAGGGTCTGCGCAGGGTAAAACGGACTTTACTTTAAGGTGAAGTTTGTAGATTAAAAATGCGACTTTAGTGCAAGATCCAAAATAAAAAAAAACGATATGAAAACGATGTCAGAAATTATGAAACAATATATTTATTTTTGACATTTTGAAAGATTTCCAAACCTGAAAATGAGAAAAACAATAAAGTGTATGTATAAAAGTGGGGTTAGAATTGTTGAAAAGTTTGTTTCTTTTTGACATTTTGAAGTGTTACCAATCCTAAAATTAAAAAATAAAAAAAATATGTTTAGTTCTCAATGTGTCAATATTTGACATTTAAAAGTGCTTGAAGTTTGTTAAGTTACCAACAAGATTTGTATAAATTCAGCTGTGTAAAAGCGACTTAAGCTGTCTGGAAACGGTTTTAGTTCGAATTTTTGAAACAGTATTACCAACTCTGAAGATGAAATTTTATATAGGGACAACACGAAAAATTAGCTTTGTAAAAAGGGCCTGCGCAGTGTAAAACGGCCTTTACTTTAAGGTGAATTTTGTAGATTAAAAATGCGACCTTAGTGCAAGATCCAAAATAAAAAAAAAAGATATGAAAACGATGTCAGAAATTATGAAACAATATATTTATTTCTGACATTTTGAAAGATTTCCAAACCTGAAAATGAGAAAAACAATAAAATGTTTGTATAAAAGTGGGGTTAGAATTATTGAAAAGTTTGTTTCTTTTTGACATTTTGAAGTGTTGCCAATCCTAAAATAAAAAATAGGTTCAGTTCGCAATGTGTCAATATTTGACATTTAAAAGTGCTTGAAGTTTATTAAATTATAAACAAGATTTATATAAATTCAGCTGTGTAAAAGCGACTTAAGCTGTCTGGAAACGGTTTTGGTTCGAATTTTCGAAACAGTATTACCAACTCTGACGATGAAATTTTATATAGGGACACTACACGAAAAATTAGTTTTGTAAAAAGGGTCTGCGCAGGGTAAAACGGACTTTACTTTAAGGTGAAGTTTGTAGATTAAAAATGCGACATTAATGCAAGATCCAAAATAAAAAAAAACGATATGAAAACGATGTCAGAAATTATCAAACAATATATTTATTTTTGACATTTTGAAAGATTTCCAAACCTGAAAATGAGAAAAACAATAAAGTGTATGTATAAAAGTGGGGTTAGAATTGTTGAAAAGTTTGTTTCTTTTTGACATTTTGAAGTGTTACCAATCCTAAAATTAAAAAATAAAAAAAATATGTTTAGTTCTCAATGTGTCAATATTTGACATTTAAAAGTGCTTGAAGTTTGTTAAGTTACCAACAAGATTTGTATAAATTCAGCTGTGTAAAAGCGACTTAAGCTGTCTGGAAACGGTTTTAGTTCGAATTTTTGAAACAGTATTACCAACTCTGAAGATGAAATTTTATATAGGGACAACACGAAAAATTAGCTTTGTAAAAGGGGCCTGCGCAGTGTAAAACGGCCTTTACTTTAAGGTGAATTTTGTAGATTAAAAATGCGACCTTAGTGCAAGATCCAAAATAAAAAAAAAAGATATGAAAACGATGTCAGAAATTATGACACAATATATTTATTTCTGACATTTTGAAAGATTTCCAAACCTGAAAATGAGAAAAACAATAAAATGTTTGTATAAAAGTGGGGTTAGAATTATTGAAAAGTTTGTTTCTTTTTGACATTTTGAAGTGTTGCCAATCCTAAAATAAAAAATAGGTTCAGTTCGCAATGTGTCAATATTTGACATTTAAAAGTGCTTGAAGTTTATTAAATTATAAACAAGATTTATATAAATTCAGCTGTGTAAAAGCGACTTAAGCTGTCTGGAAACGGTTTTGGTTCGAATTTTCGAAACAGTATTACCAACTCTGACGATGAAATTTTATATAGGGACACTACACGAAAAATTAGTTTTGTAAAAAGGGTCTGCACAGGGTAAAACGGACTTTACTTTAAGGTGAAGTTTGTAGATTAAAAATGCGACTTTAGTGCAAGATCCAAAATAAAAAAAAAACGATATGAAAACGATGTCAGAAATTATGAAACAATATATTTATTTTTGACATTTTGAAAGATTTCCAAACCTGAAAATGAGAAAAACAATAAAGTGTATGTATAAAAGTGGGGTTAGAATTGTTGAAAAGTTTGTTTCTTTTTGACATTTTGAAGTGTTACCAATCCTAAAATTAAAAAATAAAAAAAATATGTTTAGTTCTCAATGTGTCAATATTTGACATTTAAAAGTGCTTGAAGTTTGTTAAGTTACCAACAAGATTTGTATAAATTCAGCTGTGTAAAAGCGACTTAAGCTGTCTGGAAACGGTTTTAGTTCGAATTTTCGAAACAGTATTACCAACTCTGAAGATGAAATTTTATATAGGGACATTACACGAAAAATTAGCTTTGTAAAAAGGGTCTGTGCAGTGTAAACCTGGCTTTACATTAAGGTGAATTTTAGAGATTAAAAATGCGACCTTAGTGCAAGATCCAAAATCAAAAAAGATATGAAAACGATGTCAGAAATTATGAAACAATATATTTACTTTTTACATTTTGAAAGATTTCCAAACCTGAAAATGAGAAAATCAATAAAATGTTTGTAGAAAAGTGGGGTTAGAATTATTGAAAAGTTTGTTTCTTTTTGACATTTTGAAGTGTTGCCAATCCTAAAATAAAAAATAGGTTCAGTTCGCAATGTGTCAATATTTGACATTTAAAAGTGCTTGAAGTTTATTAAATTATAAACAAGATTTATATAAATTCAGCTGTGTAAAAGCGACTTAAGCTGTCTGGAAACGGTTTTAGTTCGAATTTTCGAAACAGTATTACCAAGTCTGAAGATGAAATTTTATATAGGGACACTACACGAAAAATTATCTTTGTAAAAAGGGTCTGCCCAGTGTAAAACGGGCTTTACTTTAAGGTGAATTTTGTAGATTAAAAATGCGACCTTAGTGCAAGATCCAAAATAAAAATAAAGATATGAAAGCGATGTCAGAAATTATGAAACAATATATTTATTTTTGACATTTTGAAAGATTTCCAAACCTGAAATGAGAAAATCAATAAAATGTTTGTATAAAAGTGGGGTTAGAATTATTGAAAAGTTTGTTTCTTTTTGACATTTTGAAGTGTTGCCAATCCTAAAATTAAAAAATAAAAAAAATATGTTTAGTTCTCAATGTGTCAATATTTGACATTTAAAAGTGCTTGAAGTTTGTTAAGTTACCAACAAGATTTGTATAAATTCAGTTGTGTAAAAGCGACCTAAGCTGTCTGGAAACGGTTTTAGTTCGAATTTTCGAAACAGTTTTACCAACTTGGAAGATGAAATTTTATATAGGAACACTACACGAAAAATTAGCTTTGTAAAAAGGGTCTGCGCAGTTTAAAACGGACTTTACTTTAAGGTGAATTTTGTAGATTAGAAATGCGACCTTAGTGCAAGATCCAAAATTAAAAAAAAAAGATATGAAAATGATGTCAGAAATTATGAAACAATATATTTGTTTTAGACATTTTGAAAGATTTCCAAACCTGAAAATGAAAAAATCAATAAAATGTTTGTATAAATGGGGGTTAGAATTATTGAAAAGTTTGTTTCTTTTGACATTTTGAAGTGTTGCCCATCTTAAAATTAAAAAATAAAAAAAATATGTTTAATTCTCAATGTGTCAATATTTGACATTTAAAAGTGCTTGAAGTTTATTAAGTTACCAACAAGATTTGTATAAATTCAGCTGTGTAAAAGCGACTTAAGCTGTCTGGAAACGGTTTTAGTTCGAATATTCGAAACAGTATTACCAACTCTGAAGATGAAATTTTATGTAGGGACACTACACGAGAAATTAGCTTTGTAAAAAGGGTCTGCGCAGTGTAAAACGGACTTTACTTTCAGGTGAATTTTGTAGATTAAAAATGCGACCTTAATGCAAGATCCAAAATAAAAAAAAAGATATGAAAACGATGTCAGAAATTATGAAACAATATATTTGTTTTTGACATTTTGAAAGATTTCCAAACCTGAAAATGAGAAAATCAAAAAAATGTTTGTATAAAAGTGGGGTTAAAATGATTGGAAAGTTTGTTTCTTTTTGACATTTTGAAGTGTTGCCAAGTCTAAAATTCAAAAATAAAAAAAAATATGTTTAGTTCTCAATGTGTCAATATTTGACATTTAAAAGTGCTTGAAGTTTGTTAAGTTACCAACAAGATTTGTATAAATTCAGCTGTGTAAAAGCGACTTAAGCTTTGTGAAAACGGTTTTAGTTCGAATTTTCGAAACAGTATTACCAACTCTGAAGATGAAATTTTATGTAGGGACACTACACGAAAAATTATCTTTGTAAAAAGGGTCTGCGCAGTGTAAAACGGGCTTTACTTTAAGGTGAATTTTGTGGATTAAAAATGCGACCTTAATGCAAGATCCAAAATAAAAAAAAGAATATGAATACGATGTCTGAAATTATGAAACAATATATTTATTTTTGACATTTTGAAAGATTGAATTGAAACCTGAAATGAAAAAATCAGTAAAATGTTTGTATAAAAGTGGGGTTAGAATTATTGAAAAGTTTGTTTCTTTTTAACATTTTGAAGTGTTGCCAATCCTAAAATTAAAAAAAAAAAAAAATATGTTTAGTTCTCAATGTGCCAACATTTGACATTTAAAAGTGCTTGAAGTTTGTTAAGTTACCAACAAGATTTGTATAAATTCAGCTGTGTAAAAGCGACTTAAGCTGTGTGAAAACGGTTTTAGTTGAAATTTTATGTAGGGACACTATACGAAAAATTAGCTTTACTTCTATATGCCTTAAATTTTGAAGCAGGGCTGCAAACTTTGAAATATAAAAAATAAAAAAATTGTGTGTGTGAAAGCGAATTAAATAATTGTAAAGCGAATTCTAGTGTAAAATGATAAATATTGTGGGTAGTGGATCCACATTTTAATTCGCCATATTATGTCAGTGCGTATTTGTTACTCAGAGATTTCGCCATAATTAGAGATTGTATGAAAATATTCTAAGAAATTTTAAAATGGACTTTCATCTCGAATATTTCGCCATTTCCACGAAAAAAATAAAAGCAAAAGTTGTTTATGTGAAACTACAGAATGGATTATCCACAGATCGATGACAGGAAAATTTTGACACTTAAAAAAATTGTAAAATTTGGCTGGATGAAAACATCCTGTTATTGCGAAGTGTGTTCCATTTTGAAATGAGTCAACTTTTGCTATCTCATTGTTACATTCTCTGAATTACAACTTTTTAAAAACAATAATATTTACTGCCCATTAATTCTTTTCCGAGAACGCATTCCAAACCAATATTATTAAATATTAATGTAATATAAGGAAATTAGCTCGGTTATCGGTTTAACCACCGAGTCAAGGTAAATTCAACTATCTTTAACAGATGTTACATGTTGTTATAAATTAATTTTTTTATTGTATGTATTGTATGGATATAAATTCGCCTATTTTTTATCATCTTAGCCCCCCAGAACGACCCAATTGTTGTGAAACGAGGTTCAGTTATTAATGTATCGGTTTTTGAGCTTAACGGCTTGTAAATTCTCGAGATTATAAAACCGAAAAAATCGGTTGAGTAAATCCGTCCTTGCCTATTGTGACACGGGATTTAGTGCAAACTGCGTCGAATTCCGACATTTAAAAAAATTAAAATCCCCGAAAAAAAACTAAAGCAGGTGGTGTTAACAAGATTTTGAACGAATTTAACGATAAATCCCACAGGTGGCAGGAAAAGGGGTCACACGAAGAGATCACCCCTCGGCTGGAGGTCCCTCTTCTCCAAAGGAAGAAACAGCTCGCAAGGAAACCTTGCGAAACCCCGAAAAGCGTCGACCCCCGGTATCATAGTAACCGTAAGTCGTCTCTATTTTAAGTCACCGACTTAAGTACTTAACCGGATGTGGCTACAGGATAAAGTGACTGAGTCCGATCTGGCCGATATGAAGAGGAAGCTGAGGTCGGTCAAGTCGGCCGAGAGCTTGACGTCCGGACATTCAGAGCCCACTAGCAACGAAGTCGACGGTTTGGGGCCCCTATATTCGTTGAATAAGCCGCCGGGACACAATAGGTATTAATTAAATTAATTAATAGTGATTTTTTCGGCCGGTAATTCTCGTTTGACATTTTAATTGCCTCGTGTGATGTATGGGGTCATTATCGATTGCATCGGTAGATCGTGATAAGCACGGTTGTCTTATCAGATTTTTTAAAAGTTTCTCGTTCGGGATTGTTTATGCTTGTTTGATGCTTTTATGGTGATTTGCGTCGAACATTGATCTATTGAAGGTCGTAAAGTAATCGGCGAGTTGTAAAGATGTTATCTGGGTTGGTAAATTTTAAAAGGGGCAGAGGCGTGCGTGTTGGTGACAGTTCGCGAAAATAAGTTCAGAGAAAGAAACTTTGGAGGGATATAAAATTGTAAAATAATAAAACGGGTTGTAAAAGCATTTGGCAACTGGGTTTCGGTGTTTTTATAGTTGTTTAGTTTGATGACACATTTTTACTATTATTATTTAATGATGCTATTTTTTAGAACACAAAACAACATTTTTTTACTTCCTGAGTGTAAGCTAATTATGTTTTCTTGACGTTTCATGACTCTTCGAGTACGAAAAAGTAGGGCACCCTGTTTGTCTGTCTATCTGTCTGTCTGCCGTCTGTTTGAAATTTTATTTGACAGATCTCCAAAACTACTGGTCCGATTGTTATCAAATTTTATATGTGTGTTAGGAATATCGCGTAGATAATAAAATGCTAACCAAAATTTGGATAAATATCCCTACTAACAAAAGGATGACGCTCGTAGTAAATGTTATTTCAATTTTATAAAATAAGATAAATTGTAAAAATGTCGATCACGTCGCCACAAAATCGAAATAAACGCGTTTAAAACTTAACTTATAAAAAAATTAAATTCGAAAAATCTGGGCTTATTTACCTTCGACCAATTTTTCATTTTCTCATTTTTTTCGGTTTTTCCAGTTTTCAATGTTTCGGTCTCATAATTTTTCGTTTGTTCAATTTTAATTTTTTCAATTTTTCAACTTCGCGACTTCTGAATTTTTCAGTTTTTTGTTTCCTCAATTTTTCGTTTCCTAAATTTTTAAAGTTCTTGATTTTTATTTTTATTTTCCGGATTTTCCAATTTTTAACTTTTTCATTTTTGCAATTTTTGGATTTTCAATAATTATGGGATTTTCCGATTTCTTTAATTAATAATTTTCAATAGTTCCATTTTACAATATTTCGTTTTTTCGATTTTCCATTTTTTCATTTTTGAGTCAATTTTACAATTTTTCCATTTCTTTGATTTGAAAAAGTTGAAAAACCGAAAAACGCAGAAATGGTAAAATCGGAAAAAATTAAAAATTTCACGTGGAAGAAAACCTTTCGAAAAATCTGGATTTGTTTACCTTCCACCAATGTTATGAAATCAATTTTTCCTTTTTTCATCCCCTTTATTTTTTCTATTTTTCCATTTTTCAATGTTTTGGGTTTCATAATTTTTCGTTTTTTCAGTTTTACAATTTCTCAACTTCCATATTTTTCAGTTTTTGTTTCCCAGTTTTTCATTTTTCAATTTTTCGTTTCATAAATTTTTAAAGTTCTTGATATTTATTTTTATTTTCCCGATTTTTTTATTATCATTTTCTCGATTTTTGCCACATTTTTTTGTTTATTCAATTTTTGAATTTTGCAATTATTCGATTTTCCCATCTCTTTAATCAATAATTTTCGATATTTTTTTTACAAGATATCGTTTTTTCGATTTTCTAATTTTTGTTTATTCAATTTTGCAAGTTTTTGATTCTCAGTTTTTAGATTTCTCAAAATTTTCATTCTATACTTTTTATTTTTTTTTTGTTTATGAGTTTTCAATTTTACAATTTTTCCATTTCTTTGATTCGAAAAGTTGAAAAACCGAGACTCAGAGATTGCAAAATTGAAAAAAATTAAACATTTCAAATGGAAGAAAATCTTTCGAAAAATCTGGATTTGTTTACCTTCGACCAATTTTTTGAAATCAATTTTTCCTTTTTTCGTATCCTTTATTTTTTCAATTTTTCCATTTTTCAATATTTTGGGTTTGATAATTTTTCGTTTTTTCAGTTTTACAATTTCTCAACTTCCAAATTTTTCAGTTTTTTGTTTCCCAGTTTTTCATTTTTCAATTCTTCGTTTCATAAAATTTTAAAGTTCTTGATTTTTATTTTTATTTTCCCTATTTTTTTATTATCTTTTTCTCGATTTTTACCACACTTTTTTATTTATTCAATTTTTGAATTTTGCAATTATCCGATATCCCATATCTTTAATTAATAATTTTCGATAATTGTTTTACAAGATATCGTTTTTTCGATTTTCTAATTTTTCGTTTATTCAATTTTGCAAGTTTTTGATCCTCAGTTTTTAGATTTCTCAAAATTTTCATTCTACACTTTTTATTTTTTTCATTTTTGAGTTTTCAATTTTACAATTTTTTCATTTCTTTGATTCGAAAAGTTGAAAAACCGAAAGAATCAGAAATTGCAAAATTGAAAAAAATTAAAAATTTCAAATGAAAGAAAATCTTTCGAAAAATCTGGATTTTTACCTTTGACCAATTTTTTGAAATCAATTTTTCCTTTTTTCATATTCTTTATTTTTTCAATTTTTCCATTTTTCAATATTTTGGGTTTGATAATTTTTCGTTTTTTCAGTTTTACAATTTCTCAACTTCCATATTTTTCAGTTTTTTGTTTCCCAGTTTTTCATTTTTCAATTTTTCGTTTCATAAATTGTTAAAGTTCTTGATTTTTATTTTTATTTTCCCTATTTTTTTATTATCATTTTCTCGATTTTTACCACATTTTTTTGTTTATTCAATTTTTGAATTTTGCAATTATTCAATTTTCCCATCTCTTTAATTAATAATTTTCGATATTTTTTTTACAAGATATCGTTTTTTCGATTTTCTAATTTTTCGTTTATTCAATTTTGCAAGTTTTTAATCCTCAGTTTTTAGATTTCTCAAAATTTTCATTCTACTCTTTTTATTTTTTTCATTTTTGAGTTTTCAATTGTACAATTTTTCCATTTCTTTGATTCGAAAAGTTGAAAAACCGAAAGACTCAGAGATTGCAAAATTGAAAAAAATTAAAAATTTCAAATGAAAGAAAATCTTTCGAAAAATCTGGATTTATTTACCTTCGGCCAATTTTTTTAAATCAATTTTTCGTTTTTGCGTTTCCTTTATTTCTTCAGTTTTTCCATTTTTCAATGTTTTGGGTTTCATAATTTTTCGTTTTTTCAATTTTACAATTTTTGAACTTCCAAATTTTTCAGTTTTTTGTTTCTTCAATTTTTCGGTTTGCAATTTTACAATTTTTGTGTTCGATTTTTCGGTTTCTCAGTTTTTCATTTTTCAATTTTTCGTTTCCTAAATTTTTAAAGTTCTTGATTTTTATTTGTATTTTCCCGATTTTCCAATTTCTAAATTTTTCATTTTTGCAACTTTGGATTTTGCAGTTATCCGATTTTCCGATTTCTTTAATTAATAATTTTCAATATTTCCATTTTACAATATTTCGTTTTTTCAAAGTTTTCATTTTATACTTTTTGGATTCTTTATTTTTGATTTTTCAATTTTACAATTATGCAATTTTTCCACTTCTTTGATTCGAAAAGTTGAAAAACCGAAAAACCCAGAAATTGCATAATCGAAAAAATGAAAAATTTAAAAACTAAAAATGGAGAAAAATTAATGGATATTGAATATGGAAAAAATAGATAATAGTAAAATCATAAAAGTGAAAAGTTTAAAAAAGTATAATTATTATTACATATTTAAAATAGAAAGTAGCAAATTACAAATCCAAAATTGAAAAAACAAATAAGCTAAAACTTATTAAAAAAATATATAATCTTTCCAAAAATCTGCATTTATTATAATAATCTTCGACTAATTTTTTGAAATAACAATTTTTCCTTTTTTCATTTTCTTTATTTTTTCAATTTTTCCATTTTTCAATGTTTTAAGTTTCATAATTTTTCGTTTTTTTAATTTTACGATTTCTTGATTTCAAAATTTTTCAGTTTTTTGTTTCTTCAATTTTTCTATTTGCAATTTTTCAATTTTACAATTTTTCGTGTTCGATTTTTCAGTTTCTGTTTTTCATTTTTCAATTTTTCGTTTCTTAAATTTTTAAAGTTTATTTTCCAGATTTTTTAATTACAAATAATTTTCTCTATTTTTATTACATTTTTCGTTTATTCAGTTTTTGATTTTTCGATTTTTCATTTTTGGAATTTTTGGATTTCACAATTACATTTTCCGATTTCTTTAATAATTTTCGACATTTCTATTTTACAAGAATTTGTTTTTTCGATTTTCTATTTTTTTGTTTATTCAATTTTGCAAGTTTTTGATTGCCAGTTTTTAGATTTTTCAGTTTTACTACTTGAAAACCGAAACACAGGAATTGCAAAATTTAGAAAAATTAATTAATCTCAAAAATTGGAAAGGGGATAAATTAGAAAACCCAAAAATTGTAAAATCGAGATATAGAAGTGTCAAAATTTATAAATTCAAAAACTGTAACATCGGAAGATCGAAAATTTGGAAAATTGATTTAATGAAAAAGTTTTAAAATCCAATATTTGAAAAATAGAAAAATTAGAAAATCGTAAAATTGAAAAGGTGAAAAGATTTAGAAATTTAAAATAGAAAGTAGAAAAACTGCAAATCCAAAATTAAAGAAACGAATAAGGTTAAACTTATAAAAAAAATTAAATTCGCAAAATCAAATCTTTCGAAAAATCAGGCTTTATTTAACTTCAACCAATTTTTTTAAATCACAATTTTTTGTTTTTTCATTTTCTTTATTTTTTCAATTTTTTCATTTTTCAATGTTTCGGTTTCAAAATTTTTCGTTTTTACAATTTCTCGACTTCCAAAGTTTTCAGTTTTTTGTTTCTTCAATTTTTCAATTTTACCATTTTTCAGTTTCTCGGTTTTTCAGTTTTTCATTTTTCAATTTTTCGTTCTTGATTTTTATTTTTATTTTCCCGATTTTTTAATTATGATTTTCTCGATATTTATCGCATTATTTCGTTTATTTGGTTTTTAATTTTCAATTCGTCGATTTCCGATTTTTAAATTTTTCATTTTTGCAATTTTTGGATTTCGCAATTATCCAATTTTTCGTTTCTTCAATTTTGCAAGTTTTTGATTTCCAGTCTTTAGATTTTTCAAAGTTTTCATTTTATACTTTTTTGATTCTTCATTTTTGATTTTTCAATTTTACAATTTTTCCATTTCTTTTATTCGAAAAGTTGGTTTTTCAACCTAGAAATTGCAAAATCGAAATAATGAAAAATTTTAGTTTGTTTTAAAAACTAAAAATCGAGAAAATTTAATGAATCGCAAAAATTGGAAAGAAGAAAAATTTAAAAACCCAAAAATTGTAAAATCGAGAAATAAAATTCTCAAAATTATAAATTCGATAAACTGAAAAATTAAATATCAGAAAATCGAAGAATACAAAAAAAAACAAAAATTTGGAAAATTGAATAAATAAAATAAGTTTTAAAATCCAATATTTGAAAAATGGAAAAAATAGAAAATCGTCAAATTGAAGAAGTGCAAATTTTAAAAATTATAATTACTATTACATATTTAAAATAGAAAGTAGAAAAACTGCAAATCCAAAATTGAAGAAACAAATAAGTTAAAACTTAAGTTATCATTAAAAAAAAAAATAAAATTGACAAAAAACTAAATCTTTCGAAAAATCTGGATTTATTTGACCAATTTTTTGAAATCACAATTTTTCGTTTTTTTGTTTTCATTATTTTTTCGATATTTCCATTTTTCAATGTTCCGGTTTCATGATTTTTCGTTTTTTCAATTTTTCGATTTCACTTTTTCAATTTTTCGTTTCCTAAATTTTTGAAGTTCTTAATTTTTATTTTTAATATTTCTATTTTACAGTATTTTTCGTTCTTCAATTTTGCGAGTTTTTGATTTCCAGTTTTTAGATTTTTCAATTTTACAATTGTAAAATTTTTCCAATTTGTTTTGTTCGAAAAGTTGAAAAATCGACAAACCCAGAAATTGCAAAACCGAAAAAATGAAAATTTTCAAATAAGGACTGAAGGAACGAAAAATTGAAACATTTGAAAACCCAAAATCGAGAAAAATTAATGAATCGAAAAATTGGAAAGAAGAAAAATTAGCAAACCCAAAAATTGTAGAATCGAGAAATAGAATTGTCAAAATTATAAATTCGAAAAACTGTAAAAATCGTAGAATTGAAAAAGTGAAAAGTTTTAAAAATTATAATTATTATTACACATTTAAAATAGAAAGTAGAAAAATTGCAAATCTAAAATTGAAGAAACGAATAATTAAAAATCTCAAAGTTGAAAAACCGAAAAATTGCAAATCCATTGAAAAATCCAAAAATTGAAGAATTTCACATTGAAAAAAATATATATAAAATTAGAACATTGAAAAACCGAAAAATTGATAAATTACAAATCCAAAAATTGAAGAAACTGAAATTGAAAAAACAAAAAACTGCACATGGAAACTTTGAAGAAATAAATTAAAAATTGGGAAATTTTAACTAAAATTGCCAATTCTAAAAAATGAAAAGTCAAAAGTCCTGTGGGAGTATTATTTACGCCACTGGTTTTAACTTTGTAGAGGTTATCAGAAAACAAAAATCCCAAAAATGTTTACAATTTTTCAAAGAAGCGAGATTTGTTGGGATGGACTTCAGGAGCAAGGGAAGTTCTGTCGAAATAACCTCCGACCATTTTTTTTTTATTCTGTTAAAATAATAGTCAACAGATCTGAAATAATAATACCGATTAGCGGTAAGAACCGGATTTATTAAGCTGGAAATGCAAACTTCTTATCTTCCATAATAAATCATAATTCGCACGTAAGTCGTTTAAATATCCAATAATATCACCACTTTGGAAATTTTATAACCGTATTTCATAACGATTTTCACCCAGTATAAATCAATAACGCGAACTTTAAGCCCACTGTTGCCTCCAATGCCGCCTCATTTCTCAATCACTAATCCCCCACGAACTACAATCGCTCTTTGAATTCCATTTCGGAGTATTACACCATCTAACCACCCTCTCTTCAGATCCGTATCGCACGACTCCTACTTCGACACCCTCCAAACCTCCCAGAACAACTCCGAGGGCTCCCTCCTCGACCTCAGCGAGATCCAGCTCAACTTCGAGCTCGAGGAGTCCGAGATGCGCATCTTCTCCGAGGACGAGAGCCTCGTCAGCTCGCCGCGCATCCAGAAAGACGGCCACCGGCGCGTCCTCACCCGCGCCCGCCCCGAGGAGTTCGGCAGCACGACCAACTCGGGCAACCCCTCCCCCAAGAAGCAGGCCCGCGTCGTCCTCTCGCCGGACTCCATGTCCAGGAAGCGCACCCGCCTCGAGGACCAGCTCTCCGACATCCAATACATCGACTGCACCACCCCCGACAACATGGTCTGCACCATGGCGGTGGTGCACAGCGCGCCGCCGCCGCAAACCGTCCCCGACTCCTACCAACCCAAGAACAAGTCGCCGCGCAACTCGGACAACCTCGACAAGCGGCAGTCGCTGAACCTCGAACGAGACGTCGGCGGCGGCGGGAAAATCACCAAGTCGTTCACGGAGGTGGACATCGGGCGGAAGTTCTTGGACGCGTCTAGTTTAGTGGCGACGCCGACGCCGCAGAGTCCGGGGTACCGGCGACTGGAAAGCAGCGCGAATAGTTCCCCGGATTATAGTCCCTCGGAGATTGTCTACCAGAACTTGGGGGAGAAAAAAGGCCACTATGAGAATATCCTGACGACGATTAGCATCACGTATAAGTCGCCGCCGCGGAGCGTGGAGGCGAGCCCGGTCAAGACCAACGCGGACGCGGTGTACGAGAACGTCATCGTCAACGTGGAGAAGGCGATGGTGAGTTGATGTCGATTTAGCTAAGTAGGCCTCGGTTTGTTGGCAGCTGTCACCGTGACAGTAGCGCTTTCGCGCCCCCAGTCACCCGCGTCTTGCGTTGCAGGTACCCACCTCCACCGCCTCCCTGCCTAGTCAAGAAGCCACCCAGCCAGACAACGAATTCCTCTCGGAAGCAACCGACGGCCGTCCCAAGAGCCTGAGCGCTTTGGACGAATCGAGCAACGACTTAACCTTGAAACCCAACTTAAGTTCGAGCGCCATCTGCGACACCAGCGAGCAACTAAGTCTGGTTAGTTTCACCGACCAGAGTTCGAACCAGTCGTCGCGGTCCAACGTCCAATACACCCCGAGTCTGAGCTCGGGGGTGTACCAGATGATGGAGAACTCGGAACGGATCAGCCCGACGGATTTGAGTCTGAGCGAGGTGATCCACAGCTCTACCGAGAACCTGAGCTCGGCGAGTTTCCCCTTGAGCTACTCGAAGAACTCGAGCCCGAACGTGAGCCCGAGTCCCTTTTTCGAGGATAGCGCAGAAATGAAGAACAACATTCTGGACAATGAAGACGAAGAAGAAGCGAAGAGTGAGGATCTGATTGAGTTTAGCCCGACTGAGACTGACGTCAGTCGGATTAGTTTGAACGACAAGAGAAAGTCGTCGGAGACGGAAACCATCGAGGATAACTTGATCTACCAGCAGGTCAAGGTATTCAGGAGGTCCATCCACGAGGTAAACGCGCTATTGGAACTAGGGGATGACGAAAACAACGAAAAGAAGGAGGCGGACGGGAGCAACTACGATTCGCTCGAGTCGGACGGGCACGTCTACGAAAACATCAAAGGAGAAGACATGAAGAACGAAGACCCGAGTGACGAAATCGACGGAAAAGTGTGCGTGAAAGATTTGAAGAGTCGGTTTGAAGATAAAGCAAACCAAGATAGTACAAATCCACGTTTGAAGAAGTTCTACGAGAAAGATAGTTTGCCGCCGTGTTTGCGGGCCCGCAATTTGAAGAACCAGTTGAAGACGAGGTCGTTGGATGAAGAGGCTTTTAAGAAGGAGTTCGGCGGTGGCGTTGCCGGTCAACGCCGCAAAAGCATGGACGAAGGAATCGGGTTCAAGACGAATTCGTTACCGAAGACCCTAAACCCACCCAAAGTCATACCAATGGAAGACGTAGTCAAACTAAACTCGATACACATGGCGCATAGTACAGAGAACGTGAACTTAACCCCAGAAGAAGAAATGAAGAAACGTGAGCGAATCGAGAAGTATAAAGAAGAGAGGCGAAAGTTCCTACACGATAAGTACAGGTGACTTAAGTCAATCTAGTGTTTATTTTTTGAAATTTTTGCCTTTTTGGTGCAGATCTGAGTCGTTCAAGGAGGACAAGGACGTGCTTTTGTCGAAGTTGAAGATTTTTAAACACCGGGACGAGCGAGCTCCGTCTGAGGAGGGTGAATCTCAGCTACCGCGCAGCCGCCGAAAAAGCAGCCGAAGCGACGACAGCGCCATCGACAGTCTCGACGAGGACAAAGGTACCTGTAATAAAACAAAATCCGAAAGTTTGAAATCTCGGGCGGCAGTGTTCGAACAAGTCAACCAAAGACTAAGCACTGATTACAATAAGAATAAGACGAATCGGACTGAAAGCAAAAAAGTACAAGAGTGCAAGAGTAAGGTGGAGGACTTCGTGAGGGCGAAGAAGGAGGACGACGAGAAGTGCGAGAAGCGCAGGCACACTTTCGAGAGTCGGGAGCGGGAGAGCGAGACGGAGCGGATGAAGCGGATCAGTTTGGAGAGCAGGAGTCCGAGGTGAGTGCTTAGCGTAGGTTGCGCGCGCCGCATGACTGTGGTTGTTCTTGCAGAAAGGAGAAATCGTCGCCTTCGTACTGCATTAAGGATATGAAAGCAATTTTCGAATCAAAGTCTAAACAATAATGTTAAGTATTTATTTTGTTGTAGGCCTATTGACCAAATCGTAGTTCACTTTTGTCAATCAAATTCGTTGTAAGGATATCAAAAGTGACTTTGTATATATTTTTTTAAAGCATCTCGAAGGGATATTACACCATTGATTCAACAGTTGCATTTTGTTTGTTACGTATTTTGTTTTCTTTTTTCGTAGTTTTAAGGCGAGAGCGTAAGGAGGACTCATATTTATTTTTATATGGACGGTTGCATTGCTGGATTATTTTTAAGTTTTTTACTTCAGTCGTTACTTTGATATTAAGAAAATGTGATAATCATTTGATTGTTTGTTGATGAAAGAGCAAATGTTCTTAGAGTAAGGCCTAACGCGTACTTTTTATATCTCGCTCTTGATAGAAAAATTGCCAAATTCACTTTCTACGCATTTTTTTTGGTTTCGTGAAAGTTTTGATGTGTCACTACGTAGACTGACTTATTTTACAAGACATTATCCAAAAGTTTATATTTGTAGCAAAGTAATTTAACAGAGATCACATTATATAAGATATTTGAAGAAATTAGATACGATAGACAATAATGAATTTTTACAGTATTGCACTTTACTCCAACTTAATTTATTTATATTGTAATATCATGTACATAGTGTAACTATGCTTAACATGCGGTAATTCAGATTATGTTAAAAGTAAAAAATAAATTATGTATTATTACGCCTTTTGTGTCTACTAGCCACTTCATATTTCCTGAAACCGCCATAATATGCGACTTCCTGATTTCCTTTTAATCGTACCTATCCCACGAAATAATTTTATCACATAAGTAGGTCTCCATAAAAATAGCTTCTAGAACAGGAACGCCACTTGAAGGTAAGTTACAACATACCAACACCAACGACACCTTTGTACCACAAAATAACAACATATAATTTTCGATTTTCAAGTTTTGTTTTACTAAATTTGAATTTATTCATTAAACAGTTGTTTAAGTTTTAGTGAATCTTATGAAAACTGCTGTAAGTGTTTACCTAAACAAATTCCTGATTGTTAAATTGCGTTAGCACTAGTTAACGACTAAACTCCTAACATGAACTGTGCATTTACAAACAATGAATCAAATTTACACAACGCGTTTGCGTCGGTCGAAAATTAATACACAATTTTTTATTCTACAGGTTTGTTCTACCACACCACATATAACTTTATATATTGCAAACAACACAATATTGTAATCTATTCATTAAATAATTGTTTTATCAATTCCTGGCGCTTAATTTTTCCCAAATTATTTTTGGGGATTTCGTCAACAAATTGCACCCCTCCATGTAAACGCTTCTCTTCGCTAACAAACTGTGCCAAGTAGTCACAGATTTCATTTTCGCTAACTTCGACACCGTCGTGCTTCACAACGGCGGCAGTCGGTAATTCCCCGAAGCGCGAATCAGGTTTACCAACCACAGCCACCTCCTTAATCCCTTTGAATTTCATTAAAATTTGCTCCAGCTCGACCGGAGCCACCTGCCAAGATTTATATTTAATAAGTTCTTTAATCCTTCCAGTTATATAAAAACAGCCGTCGTCGTCATAATAAGCAACGTCTCCGCTATGAAGAAATCCTTCCGAGTCGATTATTTCGTTGGTTTTTTCAACATTTTTCAGATATCCTTTCATAATCTGACCTTTAATGCAAAGTTCTCCTCGTTGAAAAGGAGGAAGAGCGTGTCCTTTTTCCAAATCAACGACTTTCATTTGATAACCGCAAAGAACTTTGCCAATGCTGTTGGGGTTGTTAATGCTGGATGAAATTATAGTTGCTTCACTCATTCCGTAACCGTTTTGCAGTGTTTGCAGACTCAACCTGAAACCATTATTATTATCTCAAGCAAAATTAACAAAAAATTTATACCTGTTTTGCAACTGAATCACGTCTTCTTCAGCCAGACAATTTCCTCCACAGAAGACACGTTTCACGCTCGACAAATCGTATTTTTCCACTAACGGGCTTTTAGCGAAAAAGTTAATCAAAGTTGGCACCAAAAAGAGCGCCTCTATTTTATGATTTTGGATTGTTTTGAGAAAAAAATCCGGCTCGAAAGAGTCAAATGGTATTATGGTTGCTCCATTAAACAGAGCAGCGTTAATAATACTCAAGCCATAAATGTGGAAAAAAGGCAGAATTAGAGGATACTTGTCTCCAGTTTTCATTCCAAGGAATTCCGGGGTTCTAGAATAATTTTGTTTCGGCAATTTTCAAAAATAACTATTATTACCTTCCGTTGCTGAAGTGCAATCGCAACATCTCGTGGTTAATCGTGACGCCTTTCGGCAAACCGGTGGTTCCCGACGAGTTGCAAATCACTGCGATATGTTCTTCAGGGTCGACATTGTCTTCGACTTGAAAGTCACTTTCGTGTGAGCATGCCGACAACATTTTTTCCACGTCCAAACAAATTAGCGTTTTAATGTAGTCCAAATCTTTTGCAACCTCTCGAACACTGCGGTGGGATTTTTTCGTACAAATTAACACACTGGGTTCGGATAAACCCAAAATGTGATTTAATTCGTCTGAAATATTTATAACTATAGAAGTAATAGTTTGTGGATTTATAACATACAGGGTGTGTACTTAGGGTTGATTAGATGCACCGGTGCTGCGATAAATAAACCTGCTAAATACGCAACCAAGAACTCTGCAGAGTTTTCAGCCACCAGTCCAACCACATCGTCGTCTGATAATCCCAAAAGTCGGAGACTCGTTGCTAAATTTTTACCCATTTGGCACAACTGTGGGTACGTGAGGGAAGTCCCGGTGGTGGGATTCACCTAAATTCATTTTACAAAATTTAGAAAGCGGCGCCAACTATCTTACCACAGCGATGACATTTTTGTCAAAAGTACTAAAAGCGTCCACCAGTAGTTTTCCGACGGGTTTATGCGGGATCCCCGAAGTGTCTTTAGGTCCATTTAGCACGAATTTGTCCATCGTGTGATTACTTCGTGACTTAAATTTTTTTTTCAGGGTGTGGGTGGAAAGACAACGCTTCTTGTGTTACCACAAAAATGATAGATGGGCCTTGACAATTTAGTTTTGTGAATGTTATCTAGTGTTTATAAAAGCTTTTCAATGTTTTTTTATTGCAGTGCGCACCTAATCCAGAAATTGTGTCAGCAACCTTACAAATATCGTATTGTGATAACCCAAACATCCCGCCTTAAATTGACAATTCCCCTCAAGGTTGGAAAAGTACCGCTAAATAAAACACCAAATATGTGGAGGACACAAAATTATTTATTCCTCCACTGACAAAAAAAAAGAAAAAACTATGCAGCGACACTAGAGCTCTATAAGAGTGTGGCCATCGAATTATATTAATTTCATTCTACAGCACAGCAAACATACCCATAGGGGGGCGTTCATAGATAGCGCACGAGCGGAGTTTGGGGCTCCTGGTCGGGGCTGTTCTCCTACCCACGACGGTGATTCTATCTATCGCAAGCACTGCCGCACGGCACTTATCTATTACGGACATGACGTACGGTCGCAAACTCGTGGTTGACTTGTGTACAAAGCTTGCATTCTTTGTGGAGATGGCGCAATAAATAACGCCAGCTCGACTAGGAACCGCGCCCTCCGCTTCTGCCACATGTTTCTGTGTTATTTAAGGGGGAACGCTAGACGAGAGACAAGTTTGAATTGGGCGCCATTTGTTGCCTTAAACGCAACTAGCAATTCTTCTTTAAATTTACCTGACGCGCTGGGATAGACGACTACCGGACGTGGGTCATAAAAGTATGGTAAGCCGATAATGCAGATTAATGATAATTTATGACAGGAGGCCCACAACATACCTTCACCACAGAATAATCATTTCTCGTATTCTTTTGACATATTAATCTTAATATTCGAGATAATTATTATATTATTCAAACACAATTTAGACACTGTAGAGCAAACAAGGCGTATCAAGCCCGTCTATTAGTTTATTCGCCTAAATGTATTATTAATACCGTTTTCAAATTACACCAAAATTGAAAAATCGAAAACTTAATAATTGAAAAATTGAAAAATCTATAAATCGAGAAGTTGAACAGTCTAAAAATTAAACAATTTAAAAATCGAAGAAATGGAAAACCAAAAAATCTAAACCGAGAACTTGAAAAATCGAATAATCGAGAAATCAAAACATCAAGGAAAACAAAAAAATTAACGGAAAATCTAGAACTTAAAAATTGAAAAATTAAAATACCTATCGAAAAATTGAAAAACCGAGAAATCGAAACATCAAAAAATGGAAAAATTGAACCGAAACATTGCAAAATCGCAGAACTGAAATACGAAAAAACTGAAAAATGAAAGGAAAATTGAAAAATCGAAAAAGTGAAAAAAACCCAAACTGAAACATTGAAAAATTGAGAAATGGAAAAATGGGAAAATAAAAAAAATTGGTCTAAAGAGTTTAGACAGTACTTCCCTCGCTATCGGAAACGTGACGACTGCATCCCTATTATGTTTTTTTTCACATTAGATTTCAAAGAATTCGGTTTTGTAGTTCCTGATTAAATCAATAAAAGAAATTTTCGCATTCATTAAATTTTTTGAGTCACCCTGTATATGCATATCCAAAAAATATGAATGGAATGATAAATTACAAGAAGAGACTCATCATATTTTGTAAATTTTAAATAGGATTATACGGCAAACTTTTGAGCTGACGTCATCAATTTTTTGGAGGGGATAAGCAAATATATTTTGACCAAAAATTTATTATGCGCTTTATAACCTTAAAACATTTGCAAAATTTCAAAGCATTGGGTTCTGTAGTTCCTGAATAAATCAATAAAATAGATTTACGCGTTCATTAATTTTTGGGGTCATCCTGTATATGCAAATCCAAAAAACATGAATGGAATGATAAATCACAAGAAGAGACTCATCATATTTTATACAATTTAGATAGGATTTATTCAGCAAAATTTTGAGCTGACGTCATCAATTTTTTAGAGGGGATAAGTAAATATATTGTGATTAAAACGGTCCTAGTTTAATAACAAAAAAATATTGTTCGTCTATAAAACAAGCTCGTCTTAAACAAAGTATTCGTAAAAAAATATGTCGTAAAAAAATTTACGTATGCTGGTCCCGACTGCGATTATGGTTTGAATATTTTTTAGAAAATCCTATCATGGATGTAGAAACATTTGTGACAGCCAAAGAGGTTTTTTTTGAGAAAATTATCTCTGAATTTAGACCAAATTGAAATAGACACTAGACAACAGGCACATTCGAGCAAAAGAAAGAGAAATTAGGGTTACGGCTTCAAATTTTGGACGTATTTACAAACTTAGACCGACTACAGCAATAGCTAAAACTGTGGAGTCTCTGTTTTACAGTACATTTAGAGGTGATCGTCATACATACTATGGACAGAAAAGTGAGGAAAAAGCTGTCAAGTGTTTTGAAATAAATAAAAATATAAAAACTGAACGGTGTGGCTTGTTTATTTCAAAACAATTTCCTTACTTGGCTGCTAGTCCAGACAGGGTTCTAGAGGATAGGAGTACATTAGTCGAAATTAAATGCCCTCACAAAATCGCAAGATTTGTCTCCCGAAGAAGCGGTTAGATAAAAAATAATCAAATTTTGTACATTGACAGGCAGAGAATTGAAACTAAAAAAAAATCATGATTACTACTTTCAAGTCCAGGGACAAATGCTTGTTACGGGTATTTCACAAGTTTATTTTGTTGTATGGACACCCAAAGGAATAAATATAGAAAAAATGTATAAAGACGAAGAAAATATGTAAAAAGATGGCAGATAAACTTGGCAGATTTTACTTTGGCGCATTGTTGCCCGAAATAATTGATTCAAGAAGAAAGAGGAACCTGCCTTTGCGAGAGATTTTTTTAAAATAAATAAAATTTGTTTCTATTTTTTATGTACTTTAATAATTTATTAGGAGTACATTTTTCATCACCAACACTTGCGTATTTTTATTATAAGTATATTTTGAAAATGATCTCTCGGCAAATGAAAACATATACGAGCACTTTTTTCGAATAAACAATGAAGGGAGAAGTTACTGGACGTAGGGCTTTTTTAAAACACCTCCTTTTTGAGATAAGTAGTAGATACACTTAGCTACTTATACGTGTTAAACAAAAGCTGTATTTTATATATTTTTTATTATTATTATAAATATGTTTATTAGTTTTATTAATTAACAAAGCAAAATATATATTAACAATAATATTACAATGATTTTTTAGTAATCATGTGTATTGAATTCGGGATCCTGAGTGGAGTAAAAATATTATAGTTCACGAGTTTTAATTAGGTTTTATAATAGTACCTCATTGCGTAAAAGTTAATTTCCTTAACAATAAATTACTGGCGGCTTGTTATAAAACTGAGTTCCTTGACATAAATTAGAAAAATCAGCCGAGAACTCTAACAATCAGCTTATGGGAGAGCATGCAATAATGGTTTTACCTGTAAAGCCGCTGCCGTAAATTTTAGTGGCGCTCCTATCGGTAAAGTACTGAACTAACTGCTCAAATTCTGTCGAATTGATACCCATTTTTTTCAATAATTGTTAGTTTTTGTTAAAAACTCTGCTAACCAATAGATCATTAATTTTCCTTTGATATTCCTGTTAAAATTATTCGACGTATTTTGCATTAATTTGTGGTATATTTTGATTTTAATAAACACATTATTATTTAAACAAATTGTACCACTAACAAACATTTAATGACTCTGCGCCCTGTAAAAAGTGATGTTTTATCCATGTGCGAATTTTCAAGCGATTCTATGATGGTTATGACTCAAAAAACTTGAAAAGAAAACACACAATGGTGCTTTTTTACGATATTTCTCATCCATATTTTTTTAGTTGATTGAACTGGTCTCTGCGCTCTAGAACATGAAAAAAGCTGCAGTTTGAGGTATGATACATCTATATTAATATCATTTTTTCATACAAAAAACCAAAAAAATTTTATACCTCGTCTAGCGAGTCCCCTTAACTACAACCGAACAAGTGTTAAAGTTTCAGAAAGAGCAATAAACAATATTGTATATATAAATGATATTTGATAAATAAACAACACAAAATGTCTCCGGCGTTTTGAGGAAAACTCCAGGGTAATGTAATTTTTAGCGTTGCGAGAAAGTACGTCTCGGTCATGTAGCTGTGCACATTGCGAGATAATATGTCTTGGTGAATTTTACGGTCTTTTCCCACAGTGGAGCAACGTTAGGTTGATTTAACTGCCGTAATGAACTATTAGCAACCTTGTGTGAGAAATTAAGAAGTGTTATAATGTAAGACTAAGTGAATCTCATGAAAACTCTGTAAGTGTTTATCTAAACAAATTCCTGATTGTTAAATTGCATTAGCACCAGTTAACGATTAAACTCCTAACATAAACTGTGAATTTTCAAACAATGAATCAAATTTACACAACGTGTTAGCGTCGGTCGAAAATTCGCATTTTTCCGATTAGAAAGCCGCAACGTACCCAACTTACCGCCTCTTTTCACCAGGCTCTCACTCACGAACCAAAGCAACAGTGCCAGGGTCGCGACCCCTTCCCTCTGCCAAGCAAAGCCAATTTCTCGCTACCAAGCCGCCCTCGTCTAATAACCCTCTAGCTAAAATTTCAAGCAGAACTGTCCACTATCCAAAAAGCGCTAACGTGCACCTGGTTGTCTATGTTTAACGATTTTTTTGATTGAATTTTTTTTCAAATTCAAATTATTCAAATTCGATAATGTCCCCGGTGGGATAGTCATAAATAAGGATTTAACCATTATACTGTATACTGGTAGCGACATGGTTAAATCCTTGAGCATTGCGCTACCCTTAAGGTATATGTTCTAATACCGACAACTTTATCCAAAAAGAATTAGGTTTCAAGTATTTCTATAAAAAAAAAGAAAGGGATAAGGTTTTACAGGATAGTACTTTACTCCAACTTAATGTACTTATATTGATTAATTATGTTTAACAAGCAACAATTCAGATTGTGTTAAAAGTAAAAATACACTGTGTATTATAAACCATTTCTTTTTGAACCTTCTATTTTTACAAAATCACAAATGAATTAAAAGATTGGATATCGTGAACAAAAGAGGACCTACGTTGTGCTTAAAGAATATTAGTGCTTGGTTTGCTTTTGACGGTTAGTGTTGTACGTATTTCATAGGTTTTCAGCAGGTTATACACTTCTATATTAAAGATAATAATACTACCTTACACCCTTGAATCAAAGAATAACAAGATATAAATTTCGCTTCTACAGTTTTGTTCTACCACGCCACAATGATACCGTACTTTAATCTATTCAGTAAACAGCTGCTTTATCAATTCCTGGCGCTTAATTTTTCCCAAATTATTTTTGGGAATTTCTTCAACAAATTGAACCCCTCCATGTAAACGTTTCTCTTCACAAACAAATTTCGCTAAGTATTCACAGATTTCTTTTTCTGTCATTTCGACACCTTGTTCCTTCACAACAACTGCAGTTGGTAATTCCCCGAATCGCGAATCTGGTTTACCAACAACAGCGACCTCCTTAATACCTTTGAATTTAATCAAAATTTGCTCCAGTTCGACTGGAGCTACCTGGCAAGATTTGTATTTAATAAGGTCTTTCATTCTTCCACTAATATAAAAATAGCCTTCGTCGTTATAATAACCAACGTCCCCGCTATGAAGGAAGCCTTCCGAGTCGATTGTTTCTTTGTTTTTTTCAGTATTTTTGAGATATCCTTTCATAATTTGACCTTTGATGCAAAGCTCTCCATTTTGAAAAGGAGGAAGAGCGTGTCCTTTTTCCAAATCAACAACTTTCATTTGATAACCCCAAAGAACTTTGCCAATGCTGCTGGGGTTGTCATGGCTACAGGTAGCTATACCTGATTCAGTCAATCCGTAACCGATTTGCAGTTTCTGTAAACTTAACCTAAAACAATTTTAAGTTGCAAGTAAAATTAAAAAAACATACTTATTTTTCAGCTGGCGCGCATCTTCTTCAGGCAGACAATCTCCAGCAGATACAACACGCTTGACACTTGACAGATCGTATTTTCCGACTAGCGGACTTTTAATGAAAAAATTAGCCAAAGTTGGCACTAGAAGTAGCGTCTTGATTTTATAGTTTTGAACTGTTTTCAAAAAAAGATCCGGTTCGAAAGCGTCGACTGGTATTATGGTGGTTCCAGTAAACAAGGCAGCATTGATCATACTCATTCCGTAAATATGGAAAAAAGGCACAACTAGGAGAAACCTGTCTCCAATTTTTAAGTCAAGGAAATCTGGGTGCCTAGAATAATTGTGATACTTTAGCAATTTTCAAAATATCCATTACCTTCCGATAGTGAAGTGCAATCGCAACATCTCGTGATTTATCATGGCCCCTTTTGGCAGACCGGTGGTTCCCGACGAGTTGCAAATCACTGCGATATGTTCTTCAGGGTCAACATTGTCTTCGACTTGAAAGTCACTTTCGTGTGAGCACGCAGACAACATTTTTTCGACGTCCAAACAAATTAGCGTTTTAATGTAGTCTAAATCTTGTGCAACCTCTCGAACACTGGGGTGGGTTTTTTTCGTACAAATTAACACACTGGGTTCGGATAAACCCAAAATATGATTTAGTTCGTCTGAAATTTTTCTAACTATAGAATTGATAGTTTGTGGAATTAAAACATACAAGGTGTGTACTTAGGGTTGATCAGGTGTACGGGTGCTGCTATAAATAAACCGGATAAATACGCAACTAAGAACTCTGCAGAGTTTTCAGCCACCAGTCCAACCACATCGTCTTTAGATAATCCCAAAAGTCGGAGACTCGTTGCTAAATTTTTACCCATTTGGCACAACTGTCGGTACGTGAGGAAAGCCCCGGTGGTGGGATTCACCTAAATTCATTTTACAAAAAAAACTCAAAAAGCGGAGCAAATGTCTTACCACAGCGACGACATTTTTGTCAAAAGTACTAAAAGCGTCCATTAGTAGTTTTCCGACGGGTTTATGCGGGATCCCCGAAGTGTCTTTAGGTCCATTTAGCACGAATTTGTTCATCGTGTGATTACTTCGTGACTTAATTTTTTTTTCAGGGTGTAGGTGAGAAAAACAACGCTCTCTTCTTGTGTTACCACAAAAATGATAGATGGGCCTTGACAATTTAGTTTTGTGAATGTTATCTAGTGTTTATAAAAGCTTTTCAATGTTTTTTAATGCAGTGCGCACCTAATCCAGAAATTGTGTCAGCAACCTTACAAATATCGCATTGTGATAACACAAACATCCCGCTTTAAATTGATAATTATATAAATATGTATATGGAGGACACAAGATTATTTATTCCTCCACTGACAAAAAAAAAAGAAAAAACTAGAGCTCTATAAGAGTGTGGCCACCGAATTATATTAATTTCATTCTAGATCATAGCAAAAATACCCATAGGGGGCGTTGTAGCACGAGCGGAGTTTGGGGCTCCTGGTCGGGGCTGTTCTCCTACCCACGACGGTGATTCTATCTATCGCAAGCACTGCCGCACGGCACTTATCTATTACGGACATGACGTACGGTCGCAAACTCGTGGTTGATTTGTATACAAAGCTGGCATCCTTTATGGAGATGGTCCAATAAATCCCGCTAGCTCGACTAGGAACCGCGCCCTCCGCTTCTGCCACATGTTTCTGTGTTATTTAAGGGGGAAAGCTAGACGAGAAACAAGTTTGAATTGGGCGCCATTTGTTGCCTTAAACGCAACCAATAATTCTTTAAATTTACCTGACGCGCTGGGATAGACGACTACCGGACGTGGGTCATAAAAGTATGGTAAGTCGATAATGCAGATTAATGATAATTTATGACAGGCGGCCCACAACATACCTTCAGCACAGAATAATCATTTCTTGTATTCTTTTGACATTTTAATTTTAATATTCGAGATAATTATTATATTATTCAAACACAATTTAGACACTGTAGAGCAAACAAGGCTTATCAAGCCCGTCTATTAGTTTATTCGCCTAAATGTATTATTAATACCGTTTCCAAATTACACCAAAATTGAAAAATCGAAAACTTAATAATTGAAAAATTGAAACATTTTAAATGAAAAAAATCGGTAAACCGAAAAATTGAAAAATCTATAAATCGAGAAGTTGGACAATCTAAAAATCAAACAATTTAAAAATCGAAGAATTGGAAAACCAAAAAGTCTAAACCGAGAACTTGAAAAATCGAATAATCGAGAAATCAAAACATCAAGGAAAACAAAAAAACTAAGGGAAAATCTAGAACTTAAAAATTGAAAAATTAAAATACCTATCGAAAAATTGAAAAACCGAGAAATTGAAACATCAAAAAATGGAAAAATTGAAGAACCGAAACATTGCAAAATCTCAGAACTGAAATACTGAAAAACTGAAAAATGGAAGGAAAATTGAAAAATCGAAAAAGTGAAAAAATTCAAAACTGAAATCTTGAAAAACTGAAAAATGGAAAGAAAATTGAAGAATCGGAAAAGTGAAAAAATACAAAACTGAAACATTGAAAAATCCAGAAATCGAAAAATTGAAAAATCACAATTGAAGAAAGAATTGAAAAATCAAGAAATAGAGAAATGGGAAAATCAAAAAATCAGTTAATCGAAAAATTTAGAAACGTCAAAAATTGAAAACAGAAAAATAAAAAAATTTAAAAATCGTAAAAGTGAAATATCGTAAAGTTAATAAATTAAAAAACTGAAAATTTTTGAAAAAAAAAATCGTATCAAGAACTAAAATTCAAAAAATCGAGAAATTGGACAATCAAAAAGTCAAAACATTGAAATCCCAGTAAGTTGATAAATGGGAAAATTTAAAAAACAAAAATTTTAAAAATCCAAGAATTGAGCAACAAAAAAAATCTAAGCCTGAAAACTCAGAAAATTGAATGATCGAGACCAAAAAATCTAAAATATAAAATTTCGACAAATTGAAAAATCATGGAACTGAAAAATCGAAGAGTCGAGATAGTGAGAAATCTAAAAACCTAAAACTTTAAAAACTGAAAAATTAGAAACGAAATATTGCAAAATTCCAAAGCTGAAATATTGAAAAACCTAAAAATGGAAGAAAAATTAAAGAATCGAAACAGTGTAAAAAACCCAAACTGAAACATTGAAAAATTTATAACCTTAAAACATTTGCAAAATTTCAAAGCATTGGGGTCTGTAGTTCCTGATTAAATCAATAAAATAAATTTACGCGTTCATTAATTTTTGGGGTCATCCTGTATATGCAAATCCAAAAAACATGAATGGAATGATAAATCACAAGAAGAGACTCATCATATTTTATACAATTTAGATAGGATTTTTTCAACAAAATTTTGAGGTGACGTCATTAATTTTTTAGAGGGGATAAGTAAATATATTGTGATTAAAACGGTCCTAGTTTAATAACAAAAAAATATTGTTTGTCTATAAAACAAGCTCGTCTTAAACAAAGTATTCGTAAAAAAATATGTCGTAAAAAAATTTACGTATGCTGGTCCAGACTGCGATTATGGTTTAAATATTTTTTAGAAAATCCTATCATGGATGTAGAAACATTTGTGACAGCCAAAGAGGTTTTTTTTTGTGAAAATTATCTCTGAATTTAGACCAAATTGAAATAGACACTAGACAACAGGCACATTTGGGCAAAAGAAAGAGAAATTAGGGTTACGGCTTCAAATTTTGGACGTATTTACAAACTTAGACCGACTACAGCAATAGCTAAAACTGTGGAGTCTCTGTTTTACAGTACATTTAGAGGTGATAGTCATACATACTATGGACAGCAAAGTGAGGAAAAAGGTGTCAAGTGTTTTGAAATAAATAAAAATATAAAAACTGAACGGTGTGGCTTGTTTATATCAAAACAATTTCCTTACTTGGCTGCTAATCCAGACAGGGTTCTAGAGGATAGGAGTGCATTAGTCGAAATTAAATGCCCTTCAAAATCGCAAGATCTCTCTCCCGAAGAAGCGGTTAGAAAAAATATAATCAAATTTTGTACATTGACAGACAGAGAATTGAAGCTAAAAAAAAATCATGTTTACTACTTTCAAGTCCAGGGACAAATGCTTGTTAGGGGTATTTCACAAGTTTATTTTGTTGTATGGACACCCAAAGGAATAAATATAGAAAAAATGTATAAAGACGAAGAAATATATGTAAAAAGATGGCAGATAAACTTGGCAGATTTTACTTTGGCGCATTATTGCCCGAAATAATTGATTCAAGAAGAAAGAGGAACCTGCCTTTGCGAGAGATTTTTTTAAAATAAATAAAATTTGTTTCTATTTTTTTATGTACTTTAATAATTTATTAGGAGTACATTTTTCATCACCAACACTTGCGTATTTTTATTATAAGTATATTTTGAAAATGATCTCTCGGCAAATGAAAACATATACGAGCACTTTTTTCGAGTAAACAATGAAGGGAGAAGTTATTGGACGTAGGGCTTTTTTAAAACACCTCCTTTTTGAGATAAGTAGTAGATACACTTAGCTACTTATACGTGTTAAACAAAAGCTGTATTTTATACATTTTTTATTATTATTATAAATATGTTTATTAGTTTTATTAATTAACAAAGCAAAATATATATTAACAATAATATTACAATGATTTTTTAGTAATCATGTGTATTGAATTCAGGATCCTGAGTGGAGTAAAAATATTATAGTTCACGAGTTTTAATTAGGTTTTATAATAGTACCTCATTGCGTAAAAGTTAATTTCCTTAACAATAAATTACTGGCGGCTTGTTATAAAACTGAGTTCCTTGACATAAATTAGAAAAATCAGCCGAGAACTCTAACAATCAGCTTATGGTAGAGCAGGCAATAAGGGTTTTACCTGGAAAGCCGCTTCCGTAAATTTTAGTGGCGCTCCTATCGGCAAAGTACTGAACTAACTGCTCAAATTCTGTCGAATTGATACCCATTTTTTTCAATAATTGTTAGTTTTTGTTAAAAACTCTGCTAACCAATAGATCATTAATTTTCCTCTGATATTCCTGTTAAAATTATTCGACGTATTTTGCATTAATTTGTGGTATATTTTGATTTTAATAAACACATTATTATTTAAACAAATTGTACCACTAACAAACATTTAATGACTCTGCGCCCTGTAAAAAGTGATGTTTTATCCATGTGCGAATTTTCAAGCGATTCTATGATGGCTATGACTTAAAAAACTTGAAAAGAAAACATACAATGGTGCTTTTTTTACGATATTTCTCATCCATATTTTTTTAGAGAATTGAACTGGTTTCTGCGCTCTAGAATATGAAAAAAGCTGCAGTTTGATGTATGATACATCTATATTAATATCATTTTTTCATACAAAAAACCAAAAAAATGTTATACCTCGTCTAGCGAGTCCCCTTAACTACAACCGAACAAGTGAAAGATCAATAAACAATATTTAAATGATATTTGATAAATAAACAACACAAAATGTCTCCGGGGTTGTGAGGAAAACTCCTGGGTAATGTAATTTTTAGCGTTGCGAGAAAGTACGTCTCGGTCATGTAGCTGTGCACATTGCGAGATAATATGTCTTGGTGAATTTTACGGTCTTTTCCCACAGTGGAGCAACGTTAGGTTGATTTAACTGCCGTAATGAACTATTAGCAACCTTGTGTGAGAAATTAAGAAGTGTTATAATGTAAGACTAAGTGAATCTCATGAAAACTCTGTAAGTGTTTATCTAAACAAATTCCTGATTGTTAAATTGCGTTAGCACCAGTTAACGATTAAACTCCTAACATAAACTGTGAATTTTCAAACAATGAATCAAATTTACACAACGTGTTAGCGTCGGTCGAAAATTCGCATTTTTCCGATTAGAAAGCCGCAACGTAGCCAACTTACTGCCTCTTTTCACCAGGCTCTCACTCACGAACCAAAGCAACAGTGCCAGGATCGCGACCACCTCCCTCTGCCAAGCAAAGCCAATTTCTCGCTACCAAGCCGCCCTCTTCTAACAACCCTCTAACTAAAATTTCAAGCAGAACTGCCCACTACCCAAAAAGCGCTAACATGCACCTGGTTGCCTATGTTTAACGATTTTTTATTGAATTTTTTTTCAAATTCAAATTATTCAACTGCTTAACTGCAAAATACTTGTTTCTTTACAAGAAATTAAAAACATGCTCTATGTATATTAAGGGTCCCCAGTCGTCGCTCGCAAAATCGGTTTCAGTGAGAAGATTTATTTTTTGTAACTATGCAACCCAAAGTACTGATCCACGGCAGGTAACGACCCATTAGAGGAGAGATTATGGTCACTGTAGGGAGTCCGTCATAAAATGCAAATCTGTAAACAACACCAGATAAGCTCATTTATTTTCAAATGAAGGGTACAGGGAAATAACCATCGAAATCCATTTGTATGTATTTTGAAAGAAAATGAGTTGAAAGTTTAAAATGCTGCGGAAAATAGATTGAGAAACCCACAAGGTTCAGTCTAACACAACTTTTTATTTTCTTTGTATTGTTTTAAAATTATATAAAATAAACTGTTTATGTTCAAATATAACAGCAAAAAAAATTGGTGGAAAGTTGTTTCGACAGAACTTCCCTCGCACCTAAAATACAATGAAACATTTCCAGCATTTTCGAGTTAAATTTTTACTTTAGGTACCCAATTTTGTGATGAAATAATCAACATTTTGCAAGGACACGTAAATCAATGTGGATTAGACTAAAAATAACAGTATTCCAAAAATTTCTGGGAAAATGGAGTGAGTCGTTCCTGATTTAATCACTAGAATAAATTGACTCATTCATTAATTTTTTTGAGCCACCTAGGTATATAAGCAAATCTAAAAAATATGAATGCAATGATAAATTACAAGTAAAAACTCATCATATTTTGCACATTTTTAGTAGAATTTATTCGGCAAAATTTTGAGATGACGTTATCAATTTTTTAGTAGCATAATCCTGAACTTGTGGTTTATTACATTATTGAGATTTTCGACTTTTCGGTTTTTCGATTTTTCAACTTTTGGTGTTTCAATTTTTCAGTATTTTAATTTTTGACATTTTCAATTTTTCCGTTCTTCAAATTTTCGATTTCTCCATTTTTTTATTTTTCGATTTCTCAATTGTCCGATGTTTCACTGATACGATTTCGCAATTGTTCAACTTTTCGATATTTTAATTTTTCAATTTTTAAAATTCTAGATTTTTCGATTTCTCGAGTTTTCAGTTCTTCCATGCATATTTCAGTTTTTCAATTTTCGGAATTCATTAAATTTATGATTTTCCATTTTTTTTTCATTTTCGATTTTCCAGTTTTTCGATGTTTCGATTTTTCAATTATACGATTGTTCAATTTCTCGATTTCTAAATTTTTAGATTTTCCAATTTTAATTTTTTTTTTTTTTTCATTATTTGAACTATTTATTATTGCTAAAAGTAAAAGTAAAAAATAACTACCAAAATTGTGACTAAAAATATGTAAAAATTAATAGAAAATAGAACACATTGCTGCTAAAACATAAAAATAACTGTACTTTCCCAAAAAAATCTATTGCATGATTACTGTTCCACTAGTATTGCTAATTTAGGACGTTAGTATCAAACGCAATGAAAGTATTAATTCTTAGTTAAACAAAAAAATTGTTGAGTGTCAAAATCGAGTGAAACATGTGAGACGTGTGTAAACAAAATCATCTAAATAATAACTATTTCCCGCAGAATTTCTGGAGGCTTATAGAGTCGACATTGGCCTGAGCGCGCTCCGATCTGTGGATCATACAAGTTCTCGGGCGATGATGTATCTAACGAGGGAGTTGAAATACCTGAAAAATTGTACAATTAAAATTTTTTATTTGCATTCGCGTCATGTGTAGTTCATATGTATAAATCTTTTGCCCTTCTAGTATAAACACACACAGGAATAAATAGTAATATTGGAATAGGTTTACTGAAGATATCACATGAAAAACGTGCTTATAATACTCTACCTCATTGGTGGTGCGGAAAAGAGTATCAAAAAATTAAATTTAAATAAATATGATTGTTCAGGTAAATAAGTGGTTAGTGAAGTGACGAGAATCTAAATCTTGTCAGTTTTGTGTATTGATTAATATATAAAATGACAGATTAATAAAAAATATTTGAATAATTTTTTCAAAGAAAATATTTTAGTAGAATATATAAAATTATAAAAATTTGCATATTTTTAAATCAAATTATGTCAGCAATGAAAGAAGTCGACTTGTAAAAGAGTTTCAACAATGTTGGTCAGCTAAGAGTATTTATGAGTTTTATGACCTAAATTACCTGGACTGATTATTACCTGGAAGGGTCGGTCGGCAAGGCTCCCTGCTGTGTAAAACTCAGCCATTTATTGAAACGGAAAACTTTAAAATAGGGTTGCCTAGTTTCACTTTATTTTCATTAGTCAGTATTTTTTTAAAAAGCAAATATTTTGATAAATATAAATTTTAAACAAAAATGACCGGGTCTTCCCCATAGAGCTCAATGTTGTCTTTGCACTGATATAAAAGTTGAAGCGAAAAATGCTCTCTCCTCGTCTAAAAATGCAATATCCTTCGAAGAGTGAACGATTAATTAAACACTAAACAATCACTTATTTTAAAAAATATTGTGTCTTCCCCAGAGATTTAGACATAATCCATCAATTGAAATGTCGATCTTTTTTTCCAAGTTGAAATTACGCCCGTAAAATGAAAATCTATTTAGCTCATTTTTTGGTCGGCTACTGGGCACCCTTAAGAAAAAAAAGGCAAAATATAGAGGCGGAATAGTTGGATAAGTAAGTTTTATTTCGTTAAATAATACTCCTAATGTACAATTTTTTATTCCACAGGTTTGTCCTACCACACCACATATAACTTTATATAATGGAAATAACACAATATTGTAATCTATTCATTAAATAATTGTTTCATCAATTCTTGACGCTTAATTTTTCCCAAATAAGTTCTGGGGATATTTTCAACAAATCGAACCCCTCCATGTAAACGTTTCTCGTCACTAACAAACCCTGCCAAGTATTCACAAATTTCTTTTTCTGTAACTTCGGCACCTTCTTCCTTCACAACAACCGCAGTTGGTAATTCCCCGAAGCGTGGATCAGCTTTACCGATAACAGCGACGTCCTTAATCCCTTCGAATTTAACTAAAATTTGCTCCAGTTCGGCTGGAGGTACCTGCCAAGTTTTGTATTTAATAAGTTCTTTAATCCTTCCACTTATATAAAAGCACCCATCGTCGTCATAATAGCCAACGTCTCCGCTATGAAGAAAGCCTTCCGAGTCGATTATTTCTTTGGTTTTTTCAGCATTTTTGAAATATCTTTTCATAATTTGGCCTTTGATGCAAATTTCTCCGTTTTGAAAAGGTGGAAGAGCGTGTCCTTTTTCCAGATCAACGACTTTCATTTGATAACCGCAAAGAAGTTTGCCACAGCTGTTGGTCTTGAAAGGACTGCATAAAACTATACCTGCTTCCGTCATTCCGTAACCGTGTTGCAGTCTTTGCAAATTCAACCTGAAACAATTTTCAATTGGAAACAAAATCTTCAAAAAAAAAAAACAGAATGTACCTATTTTGAAACAGTCGCGCATCTTCTTCAGACAGACAATTTCCTCCACATATAACAGATTTAAGACTCGACAGATCGTACCTTTCAACTAGTGGACTGTTAACGAAAAAGTTAACCAAAGTCGGCACCAGAATCAGAAGCTTTACTTTATAGTTTTGAATTGTTTTCAGAAAAAGGTCCGGTTGGAAAGCGTCAAGTGGTATTATGGTTGTTCCGGTATATAAAGCGGCATTGAGGGCACACATGCCGTAAATATGGAAGAAGGGCATTATTAAAAGATTTCTGTCTCCAGTTTTCATGTCAAAAATATCTGGGCTCCTGCAATAATTTTAGCATTTTGGTAATTCCCGAAAATATTTGTTACCTTCCATTAGTAAAGTGTAATCGCAACATCTCGTGGTTAATCATGACGCATTTTGGGAAACCGGTGGTTCCCGACGAGTTGCAAATCACTGCAATGTGTTCTTCTGTGTCAAAATTATCTTCGACTTGAAAGCCACTTTCGTGTGAGCACGCAGACAACATTTTTTCCACGTCCAAACAAATTAGCGTTTTAATGTAGTCTAAATCTTTTGCGACTTCTCTAACATTGTGGTGGGTTTTTTTCGTACAAATTAACAAACACGGTTGCGATAAACTCAAAATATTTCCTAATTCGTCTGAAATTGATATCAGTATATGTAGAAGTGATAGTTCGTGGAATTAAAACCTACATGGTGTGAACTTAGAGTTGATCAGATGTACGGGTACCGCGATAAATAAACTTGCCAGATAAGCAATCATGAACTCTGTAGAGTTTTCAGCCACCAGTCCAACTATATCACCTTTCGATACTCCCAAAAGTCGAAGACTCGTTGCTAGATTTTTACTCATTTAGCACAATTGTGGGTATGTGAGGGAAGCCCCAGTGGTCGCACTCACCTAAATTCATTGTAGAAAATTCAAAATGGGGCGTGAGATTTCTTACCACAGCGATGGCGTTTTTGTCGAAAGTACTAAAAGCATCAATGAGTAGTTTTCCGATGGGTTTATGTGGGATTCCCGAAGTGTCTTGGGGTCCGTTTACCACGAACTTGTTCATTATAGTGCTTTTTTTGGTAGTGATTTTCAAAAATCTCTCTTTTTTGTATTAAAAATGAAACAATTTCACACGGAATGATGTTCTCGTGACAACTGCCTCGGAAAGGAATTGGAAAATGAGTAGTCGTTGCTTAGACTAGCACAGAAATGAGCACTGTATTCATTTTGAGTTTGAGGGATTTAATTTCAACTGCGCATGACATTTTCTAAATTGCTAGCTGTGTTAGTCTAGCTTTTGAAACATGATTTTTTGGGGGGGATGAGAATGTGCATCTTGTTGCCCACGGAAGCAGCTAAAAAGGCCTTTCTTAACATCTTCCACTAATAATTTTCTCTTATGCTGTTAGGGATGATTTGAAAATTTAACATTTTAGGAAACTGACAACGTGCCAAATGTTTTCAGTCATATAAACAACAAGTTAAAAAATCCCTAACGAATGACGCACAGGCATCCAACATTATCCTAAATTTGGCAGGGTTACTGCAAAGTGAATTAAGTTTAAATACATAAGTATATATAGCATAATCGCACGTACAACCTATAAAACGATGCGTAACAAGTGGCAGTTCACATTATGTTAAAAGTAAATTATAAATTACCTATTATTATCAAATCTTAACATCTATTAAGCTGAAAGCTTTTGACTTTGCACCTACTATTTTTAGAAATAAAACATAAATTTAAATTTAAAATCGTCGAAAAAGATCTGCATGCAAATAAAACGCAAAGAGAGGATCTACGTTGTGTTCTAAGAATACTACTGCTTTGATATCGTCATCAGGCATTTCTAACTTGGAGAAAAAAATTGTACCGAGTGACTATTAATCTTTGTGAAATTGATATAACTGTAGAAGTAATAGTTACAATGCGGCGCAAAATTTCTTACCACAGCGATGGCGTTTTTGTCTAAAGCACTAAAAGCACCCATGAGTAGTGTTCCGATGGGTTTATGGGGGATTCCTGAAGTGTCTTGGGGTCCACTTACCACGAACTTATCCATAATGATGATTTTTCGTGCAACTAATTACCAAAAATCTCGATTTTTTATTAAAAATAAAAACGATTTCACTCGTTAAACGCTTTATAATATTTTAAATTAAGGGCCGGTTGGATAAACGCAAATCAAATTTAATCTCTGATTAACCCCATAGTAACGATTGTTATTATCATAGTTACAATTGTTCTTAATCAGAGATTAAATTTGATTTGCGTTTATGCAACCGGCCCTAAGAGTAGAAATACTTACCACGGAATGATGTTTTTCTGAGAACTACCTCACAACGGAAATGAAAAATAAGTAATCGTAACAAAAATGAGGAATGGTCTTTTATGGATTCATTTTTATTAATATTATTTCCAACTGCGCATGACATTTTCTAAATTGCTGGCTCTATTACATTCACTTGTAGGTTTTTAAAAGCATATTGATATTTTTTTCTTCATAAAAAAAATAAATTATTTATATAAGCGATAATATTTGCACTAAAAGGAAATTTTTGTTAATTTATAGGTGGTAAATAAATGACAATTTTCTGGGAAATTGATTGAATACTGTAAGATGCTATCACTGTCTTTCTCATGGTGGTATCTTCACAACAGGAAAAGGGAAATACATCAGGAAATCCAACGCCAACTGGAATACCATTTTTTATCACACGTTTTTAACTAAATGTCTGGAAAAAACAACAGTATGAATTTTTAAGGTCGTGTCGGTCCTACTTAAATTATCCCAACACTTGACATATGAATATATTGTTACGAAATAAACCCATACGCCACCCCAGTACGACGCCTATGGGTTTTCTCGAGGGCTTTCTAGTATGTACAGCGATGAACTCATCACCGGTGACGGCAGCCGGACGGCGTTCGCTAAAGAAAAGCCTGGAAGCGGAAGTCGCGATGGGTACTCAAGAAAAGCTCGATCGCGGAATATCTAGTAAGGAAGTGCGTGTTTAAATAGAGACCACCTTCGGGAGCGATCCATTGAGTGAAGAAGACGAATCCAGTCGATGTTGAGCGACTTCAGTCAAGTATTTTAATCGTCACCTTACGCAAATTTGTATACGCTTTTTTTTAAGTTTTGTTGTGTCACATATTATTTAACAGTTAATATTTGCAGAAAAATAATTCAACCGAGATCACATTGTGTACATGGTATTTAAAATAAAATGTAAAGGTACGACAGACAATAATGAATTTTTGGAGTGAAGACTCCAACTTAATGTAAACTTAGTTCACGTTGCATCGACCCTTTCAAGGTCACACATTTATATTTTTTAGCAGTGTGACTGTGGCTTCTCTTTTTCTTCACCTGTGTACCTAACACACAAGGGTCGATTTAGTGACCATGTTAATCATTATGTGACTGATGGTTATGTTTGAAATTGTCAAATGAAGGCGTGTTTGGCTACAATATTTGTTGGTATTATCTACTTCACTACTTTTTTCTGTCAGGCATGATTTGAAAATTTAACGTTTGAAAAAACTGACAACGTGTCAAATATATTCATATAAACGTGACGATAAAAAATCCCTAAGGAATGACGCACAGGCATTCAATATTATCCTGAATTTGACAGGTTATTGCAAAGTGAAGTAAGTTTACATATTTATATTATTCTCGTACATACCTACATCGTGTAAAACTTTGCTTAACAGGTGACAGTTTAGATTATTTTAAATGGAAAATGAAAATTACCTAGTGTTAAATCTTATCATCTAATTACTGGACAGTGTCGAATAAATAAAAAAGGCATTTCTAAATTTGTGAAGAAAAATGTACGGAATGCCTTAATATTTGTGTCTTTTTTTTGTCAGGATGGCCACATATTTAAAATTTTATAATGAATAATGAGTGACATACCTGTCACATCAAAAAGTGACGGTTATTGAAAATTTAACAACAAAATACTGTTAGTCTAGAAAATATTTCCTCATGTTAGTGCAAAATCTGCTTAACACAGAATATTGAAATATAATTAATAAATAATTACGTTATTATTACACCCACAAATTATCTGCTAGCCGACACCTTTTCGTCAACATAAGCATTTGAAAAATGTTGTTGGTAGCACTATTTCAAAATTCATTTATTTTTAAAAATGCAAGTGTTGAGTTGACAAGTTACTTTTGAAGTATAATGTATTACCCCTGGCCTAGTTAATTATGCTATCCCGCATTATTCTGCCCACGTATTGCACTGACCGATCAGTTTTACTTAATCGGTGAATATGGAAGAAAATATTTTGTGAGGTTATGTTGCGAGTACCGATAGATTGTAGTAAATTTTTATTACTAAAATCTCATTAAAATGCTATGTTCTCCTACGATTACGTGAAAAAGCGAGGGCCTTCTTGTTCTTCAATGGTTAATTTAATCAGTGAGTAATAACTTGCAACAATTTTTTCAGTATTGTACTTTACTCCGGCGTAATGTAGTCGTATTTACAATGTAATGTCATGTACATTGAGTAATTATCTTTAACAAGAGGCAATTCAGATTACGTTAAAAGTAATAATATTACTTACTACTATTTTTAGAAAATGACGATTGTCTGACAGGTAGTTTTATTTTATTAACTAACGTACACTCTTGACCCAAAGATTAACATGAGATAATTTTCTATTCTATATTGTTGTACCATAACACCAAATAATAACGTACTTTAATCTAGTCATTAAAAAGCTGTTTTCGTCAATTCTTGACGCTTAATTTTTCCCAAATTAGTTTTGGGGATAGATTCAACAAATCGAACCCCTCCATGTAAACGTTTTTCGTCACCAACAAACTTTGCCAAGTAGTCACAGACGTCTTTTTCCGTAATTTCAAAACCTTCTTCCTTCACAACAACCGCTGCAGGTAATTCCCCGAACCGTGAATCAGGTTTGCCAACAACAGCAACTTCTTTGATCCCTTTGAATTTCATTAAAATTTGCTCCAATTCTACTGGAGCTACCTGCCAAGATTTGTATTTAATGAGTTCCTTAATCCTTCCGCTTATATAAAAACACCCATTGTCGTCATAATATCCAACGTCCCCACTATGCAGGAAGCCTTCCGAGTCGATTATTTCTTTGGTTTTTTCAGCATTTTTGAGATACCCTTTCATGATGTGACCTTTGATGCAAATTTCTCCATTTTGAAAGGGAGGAAGGGCGTGTCCTTTTTCCAAATCAACGACTTTCATTTGATAACCGCAGAGAACTTTACCAATGCTGTTGGCGTTGTCTGGATTACATAAAACTATACCTGATTCAGTCATTCCGTAACCGTTTTGCAGTTTCTGTAAACTTAACCTAAAACAGTTTTAAATTGCAAGCAACATTTTCAGAAACAAAAAATGTTTGTACCTATTTTTCAACAGGACCACATCTTCTTCAGGCAGACAACTTCCTGCACATATAACGCGTTTAACACTCGAGAGATCATACCTTTCGACTAACGGACTTTTAGCGAAAAAGTTAACCAAAGTCGGCACAAGAAGAAGCAGTTCTATTCTGTGGTTTTGAACTGTTTTCAGAAAAAGATCCGGCTCGAAAGCGTCAAGTGGTATTATGGTTGTTCCAGTAAACAAAGCAGCGTTAATGACACCCAGTCCATAAATATGGAAGAAAGGCAGAATTAGGAGGCATTTGTCTCCAGTTTTCATGGCAAAGACTTGCGGGTTTCTAGAATAATCTTGAAATATTGGCAAATTTAAAAAATATCGGTTACCTTCCGAGAGTTAAGTGCAATCGCAACATCTCGTGGTTAATCATGACCCCTTTTGGCAAACCGGTGGTTCCCGACGAGTTGCAAATCAATGCAATTTGTTCTTCAGGGTCAAAATTGTCTTCGACTTGAAAGTTACTTTCATGCACGCACGCAGACAACATTTTTTCCACGTCTAAACAAAGGACAGCTGTAACGTAGTTTAAATCTTTTACAGCTTTTCTAGCATTTTGGTGGGTTTTTTTCGTACAAATTAATACGCTGGGTTCAGATAAACCCAAAATATGTTCTAATTCGTCTGAAATTAATATAGGTAGCTATAGAAGTGACAGTTTGTGGTATTAAAACCTACAGGACGTGTGCTTAGAGTTGATTAGATGTACGGGGACTGCGATAAATAAACCTGCTAGATACGCAACCAAGAACTCCGGAGAGTTTTCAGCCATCAAGCCAACGATATCACCTTTCGATACTCCCAAAAGTCGAAGACTCGTTGCTAGATTTTTACTCATTTGGCACAACTGTGAGTAAGTGAGGGAATCCCCAGTGGTGGCATTCACCTAAATTATTTTTAGAAAATTCAAAATCTGTCGTGAGATTTCTTACCACAGCGATAACGTTTTTGTCGAAAGTACTAAAAGCATCCATGAGTAGTTTTCCGATGGATTTATGGGGGATTCCCGAAGTGTCTTGTGGTCCACTTACCACGAACTTATCCATGATAATGATCTTTCGTCCAGCCAATTTCGAAAAATCTCGATTTTTTATTAACAATAAAAATTATTTCACTCGTTAAACGCTTTATAATATTTTAAATTAAGGTTAGAAATACTTACCACGGAATGATGTTTTTCGAAGAACTACCTCACAACGGAAATGAAAAATAAGTAATCGTAACAGAAATGAGGAATGGTCGTTTATGGATTCATTTTTATTAATATAATTTGCAACTGCGCATGACATTTTCTAAATTGCTGGCTCTATTACATTCACTTGTGGGTTTTTAAAAGCATATTGATGTATTTTTCTTCATAAAAAAAAGAAATTAATTATACAAGCGATAATATTTGCACTAAAAGGAAACTTTTGTTGGTTTATAGGTGGTAAATAAATGACAATTTTCTGTGAAATGTGTAAGATGTAATCACTGTCTTTCTCATAGTGTTATATTCACAAAAGGAAAAGGGAAATACATCTGAAAACCCAACGCTAACTGGAATTCTATTTTTTATCATACGTTTTTAACTAAATGTCTGGAAAAAACAACAGTATGAATTTTAAGGTGGCGTCGGTACTACTTAAATTATCCCAACACTTGACATATGAATATATTGTTATGAAATAAACCCAACCACCACCCCAGTACGACGCCTATGGGTTTTCTCGAGAGCTTTCTAGTATGTACAGCGATGAACTCATCACCGGTGACGGCGGCCGGGCGGCGTTCGCTAAAGAAAAACCTGGAAGCGGAAGTCGCGATGGGTACTCAAGAAAAGCTCGAGCCGAATCCAGTCAATGTTGAGAAACTCCAGTCAAGTTGTGCCGGAATTATTTTGCACAAAATCGCGGTGTAATTACTCAATTAATCTTGTAAAAGTTTTTTATTTTAATCGTTATTTTACGCAAATTTTTTATACGCTTTTTTTTAAGTTTTGTTGTGTCACAAATATTATTTAAAAGTTAATATTTGTAGAAAAATAATTCAACCGAAATCACATTGTATACACGACATTTACAAATATAGGTATAGGTACGACAGACAATAATGAATTTTTGAAGTGAAGACTCCAACTTATGTAAACTTGGTTCACGTTGCATCGACCCTTTCAAGGTCACACATTTATATTTTTAGCAGTGTGACTGTGACTTCTCTTTTTCTTCCCCTGTGTACGTAACACACAAGGGTCGATTTAGTGACCATGTTAAACATTATGTCACTGATGGTTATGTTTGAAATTGTCAAATGAAGGCGTGTTTGGCTACAATATTTGTTGGTATTATCGACTTCACTACTTTTTTCTGTCAGACATGATTTAAAAATTTAACGTTTTGAAAAAACTGACAACGTATCAAATATTTTCATATAAACATGAAGATAAAAAATTCCTAAAGAATGACACACAGGCATCCAACATTATCCTGAATTTGACAGGTTATTGCAAAGTGAAGTAAGTTTACATATTTATATTATTCTCGTACATACCTACATCGTGTAAAACCATGGTGCTTAACAGGTGACAGTTTAGATTATTTTAAATGGAAATCTTATCATCTAATTACTGGACAGTGTCGAATAAATTAAAAAAGCCGTTTCTAAATTTGTACAAAAAAATGTACCGAGTGCCTTAATATTTGTGTCTTTTTTGTCAGGTTGGCCACATTTATAATGAATTAATGACATATCTGACTTACAGCAGTCTGTAAAAATTCCATTGTTTAAGCCTTTTTTAGAATACAGAAAAAAATTGTCACATGAAAAACTGACGATTACTGAAAATTCAACAATAAAAGACTGTTAGGTTAGAAAACATTTCTAATGGCAGTGCAAAATCTGCTTAACACAGAATATTGAAATATAATTAATAAATAATTACGTTATTATTAGACCCACAAATTATCTGCTAACCGACACCTTCTCGTCAACATAAGGAACACCACCCCCAAGCATTTGAAAAATTTTGTTGGTAGCACTGCTTCAGAATTCATTTAGTTTTAAAAAACCAAGTGTTTTGAGTTGACAAGTTACTTTTGAAATATTATATATTACCCTTGACCTAGTTAATTATGCTAGCCCGCATTATTCTGCCCACGTATTGCACTAACCGATCAATTTTATTTAACCCGTGAATTTGGAATATCTCCCCAGATTACATGTTGCACCGCGCCCAAGCCCAATCACTGTAAAAGGCTTTAAAATTCAAATTTTGAAACTAGCGTTCGGTCCGATGTGTCGCGAAACGTTCCGTCTCAGTTCGACGCGTTTTTGGACTAGGCATGGAAAATACAAATGTCAAAGTGAATTTAGGAATTACGACGTACCAAATGTTTTCATATAACCTCGAAGACAAAAAATCCCTATCGAATGACGTATCCACATTCACTAAATTTGACAAGGTTGCTGCTAAGTGCGCCAAGTTTACATATCTATACAATATATTATACTCATACGTACCTATATCGTGTAAAACTATGCTTAACAAGCGGCAGTTTAGATTATTTTAAACCGAAAATGTAAATTACTTATTGTTAAATCTTATCATCTATTACTGCACTGTGTCGAATAAGTTTGAAAAAGAATTTCTAAATTTGATAAAAAAATTGTACCGAGTTACCATTAATATTTGTGACTTTTTTCAAGTTGACCACATATCTAAAATTTTATAACGACATTCCTGATGTCAAATTTAAGTTTTGGGCACCGATTCCGTAGCTACCATCTTCTTATTGGTTTTTAGGCTCAGTCATTGCCAATAATTCAGAATTGCCAACCCAAAAATTTGCTTCACGCGGTATTTACGAGAGTTGAATATGGGGTGTCAACAAGTTTTCGCAGATCGGTGTTAGTGTACTTTCTTTGTTATATTTGGAACAGGCGGTAAAAATTCAATTGTTTGAGGCTTTTTTATAGTGTAGAAAGAGTCGCATCAAAAACTGACGGTTATTGAAAATTTAACAACAAAATAATGTTAGGTTAGAAAATATTTTCTCCTGTTTAATAATTACGTTATTATTACACCCACAAATTATCTGCTAGCCGACAACTTCTCATCAACATAAGGAACACCACCATCGAGCATTTGAAAAACTTTTGTTGGTAGCACTGCTTCAATCTTCATTTGATTTTAAAAAAGCAAGTGACAAGTGTATTGTGCCCACAAGTTACTATTGAAATAAAAAAAAATAAATGGAATTAATCACACTCTAACGGTTATTAGAAGGATCACTTCACGACAACAGTTCTCTAAGGCAATTTTTTGTTTGTTTGGAAAATAAAAGAAAATTTAAGAAAACATCACTTTTCTGAAATTTTTGTAGCAACAATACGAAAATATTCTGCGTAATTCAGTCGGAAACAATTGAACTCATTTGAATTGAGAATTCACATAAAAGAGGACCTACGTTGTGCTTTAAGAATATTAGTGCTTCTGGAATCGTCGTCGAGCGTTTAATATGGTAAATCGGTGTTGCAGTGCTTTTAGTATATCCTATCCGTATTTCGAATGCACTTATGTTAAAGATTGTAGACATTTGTCATGAATAAATTTTATTTAATTAATTAACTTACACCCTTGAACCAAAGACTAACCAGACATAATTTTCTAATCTACTGTTTTGTTCTACCATACACATGTAAATAAAACCGTACTTTAATCTACTCATTAAACAGCTGCTTCATCAATTCCTGGCGCCTAATTTTCCCCAAATTAGTTCTGGGGATGTCATCAACAAATCGAACCCCCCCATGCAAACGTTTTTCATCACAAACAAATTTCGCTAAGTATTCACAGATTTCTATTTCTGTAATTTCGACACCTTGTTCCTTCACAACAGCGGCTGTCGGTAATTCCCCGAACCGTGAATCAGGTTTACCAATGACAGCGACGTCCTTAATCCCTTCGAATTTGCTTAAAATTTGCTCCAGTTCGACTGGAGCCACCTGACAAGATTTGTGTTTAATAAGGTCCTTCATTCTTCCACTAATATAAAAATAGCCTTCATCATCATAATAACCAACGTCCCCGCTATGAAGGAAGCCTTCCGAGTCGAGCATTTCTTTGGTTTTTTCGGAATTTTTGAGATAACCTTTCATAATTTGACCTTTGATGCATATTTCTCCATTTTGGAAAGGAGGAAGCGAATGTCCTTTTTCTAAATCGACAACTTTCATTTGATAACCGCAAAGCACTTTACCAATGCTGCTGGGGTTGTCATGACTACATGCAGCTATACCGGATTCCGTCAGTCCGTAACCGATTTCCAGTTTCTGTAAACTTAACCTAAAACAATTGTAAATTGCAAGCGAAATTAAAAAAAAAACATACTTATTTATCAGTTGGCGCGCATCTTCTTCAGGGAGACAATCTCCAGCAGATACAACACGCTTGACACTCGACAGATCGTATTTTCCGACTAACGGACTTTTAATGAAAAAATTAACCAAAGTTGGCACTAGAAGTAGCGTCTCAGTTTTATAGTTTTGAACTGTTTTCAAAAAAAGGTCCGGTTCAAAAGCGTCAACTGGTATTATGGTTGTTCCAGTAAACAAGGCAGCATTAATCATACCCATTCCGTAAATGTGGAAAAAAGGCACAATTACGACCAACCTATCTCCAATTTTTAAGTTAAGGAGATCTGGGTGCCTAAAATAATTGTGATACTTTGGCAATTTTCAAAATATCCGTTACCTTCCGATGGTGAAGTGTAATCTCAACATCTCGTGGTTAATCATTACCCCTTTTGGCAAGCCGGTGGTTCCCGACGAGTTGCAAATCAATGCAATTTGTTCTTCAGGGTCAAAATTGTCTTCGACTTGAAAATTACTTTCATGCACGCACGCAGACAACATTTTTTCCACGTCTAAACAAAGGACAGTTGTAACGTAGTTTAAATCTTTTACAGCTTTTCTAGCATTTTGGTGGGTTTTTTTCGTACAAATTAATACACTGGGTTCAGATAAACCCAAAATATGTTCTAATTCGTCTGAAATTAATATAGGTAACTATAGAAGTGACAGTTTGTGGTATTAAAACCTACAGGGTGTGTGCTTAGAGTTGATTAGATGTACGGGGACTGCGATAAATAAACCTGCTAGATACGTAACCAAGAACTCCGCAGAGTTTTCAGCCATCAAGCCAACGATATCACCTTTCGATACTCCCAAAAGTCGAAGACTCGTTGCTAGATTTTTACTCATTTGGCACAACTGTGAGTAAGTGAGGGAATCCCCAGTGGTGGCATTCACCTGAATTAATTTTTGAAAATTCAAAATGTGGCGTGAGATTTCTTACCACAGCGATGAGGTTTTTGTCGAAAGTACTAAAAGCATCCATGAGTAGTTTTCCGATGGGTTTATGGGGGATTCCCGAAGTGTCTTGGGGTCCATTTACCACGAACTTGTTCATCGTAGTGATTTTTGTGCTAGTGATTTTCAAAAATCTCTGCCTTGGAAAGGAATTGAAAAATGAGTAGTCGTTGCTTAGACTAGCACAGAAATGAGCATTGTATTCACTTTGAGGGAATTAATTTCAGCTGCGCATGACAGTTTCTAAACTACTAGCTTTTAGTCTAGCTTTTCTTTTTTGAGGGGGATGAGAATGAGCATCTTGTTGCTCACCGAAGCAGCTAAGAAGGCCTTTCTTAAAATCTTCCCCTATAATTTTCTCTTATGCTGTTAGGGATGATTTGAAAATTTAACATTTTAAGAAACTGACAACGTGCCAAATGTTTTCAGTCATATAAACAACAAGTTAAAAAATCCCTAACGAATGACGCACAGGCAACCAACATTATCCTAAATTTGGCAAGGTTACTGCAAAGTAAATTAAGTTTAGATACATAAGTATATACTTATAGTATAATCGCACGTACAACCTATAAAACGATGTGTAACAAGTGGCAGTTCACATTATGTTAAAAGTAAAATATAAATTACCTATTATTATCAAATCTTAACATCTATTAAGCTAAAAGCTTTTGACTTTGCACCTACTATTTTTAGAAATAAAACATATATTTAAATTTAAACTCGTCGAAAAAGATCTGCAAACAAATAAAATGCAAAGAGAGGATCTACGTTGTGTTCTAAGAATACTACTGCTTTGATATCGTCATCAGGCATTTCTAACTTGGAGAAAAAAATTGTACAGAGTGACTATTAATCTTTGTGAGATTGATATAACTGTAGAAGTAATATTTACAATGCGGCGCAAAATTTCGTACCACAGCGATGGAGTTTTTGTCGAAAGCACTAAAAGCACCCATGAGTAGTGTTCCAATGGGTTTATGGGGGATTCCTGAAGTGTCTTGGGGTCCACTTACCACGAACTTATCCGTAATGACGATTTTTCGTGCAACTAATTACCAAAAATCTCGATTTTTTATTAAAAATAAAAACGATTTTACTCGTTAAACGCTTTATAATATTTTAAATTAAGAGTAGAAACACTTACCACGGAATCATGTTTTTCTGAGAACTACCTCACCACGGAAACGAAAAATAAGCAAAAATGAGGAATGGTCTTTTATGGATTCATTTTTATTAATATTACGTATTTCCAACTGCGCATGACATTTTCTAAATTGCTGGCTCTATTACATTCACTTGTAGGTTTTTAAAAGCATATTGATATTTTTTTCTACATAAAAAAATAAATTATTTATATAAGCGATAATATTTGCACTAAAAGGAAACTTTTGTTAATTTATAGGTGGTAAATAAATGACAATTTTCTGGGAAATTGATTGAATAAGATGCGATCACTGTCTTCCTCATGGTGATATCTTCACAACAGGAAAAGGGAAATACATCTGAAAATCCAACGCCAACTGGAATACCATTTTTTATCACACGTTTTTAACTAAATGTCTGGAAAAAACAATAGTATGAATTTTGAAGGTCGTGTCGGTCCTACTTAAATTATCCCAACACTTGACATATGAAAATATTGTTACAAAATAAACCCATACGCCACCCCAGTACGACGCCTATGGGTTTTCTCGAGGGCTTTCTAGTATGTACAGCGATGGGTACTCAAGAAAAGTTCGATCGCGGAATATCTAGAAAGGAAGTGCGTGTTTAAATAGAGACCACCTTCGGGAACGATCCCTTGAGTGAAGAAGACGAATCCAGTCGATGTTGAGCGACTTCAGTCAAGTATTTTAATCGTCACCTTACGCAAATTTGTATACGCTTTTTTTTAAGTTTTGTTGTGTTACAGATATTATTTAACAGTTAATATTTGCAGAAAAATAATTCAACCGAGATCACATTGTATACACAGTATTTAAAATAAAATATGTAGGTAGGACAGACAATAATGAATTTTTGGTTTAGATTATTTTAAATGGAAAATCAAAATTACCTGTTGTTAAATCTTATCATCTAATTACTGGACAGTGTCGAATAAATTAAAAAAGGCGTTTCTATATTTGTGAAAAAAAATGTACCGTGTGCCTTAATATTTCTGCCTTTTTTGTCAAGTTGTCCGCATATTTAAGTAGGTCGTGGAAGCGTGCCGCCTATCACTTTATATGTATTTTACTAATGGTAAATTTACTAATTATTTTAGAACAACAACTTAAAGACAAAAGTTGTAAAGAGCAAGAAACTGTACTATATGTACTTGTTAATTTGTAGTATGTACGTTTTTATTAATCACTAATTTGAATCCATTCGTCGACGTTCCGAGCCGTGACGTCAAAAAAACTCCGCAATCTCATAATTTTGTACCACTTTAATTCATCAATAAATGAAAATGTTTATTATTGCACACCTAATTTGTGCATAAATCTTGTTTTACATGTTTTTTTTTTGGTTGTATTTATTAAGTGATAATTTGTTTATATGTATTTTTGTTTTAACATGCAAAATACCTATGTTCGAAAAACAATTGTACACCGGGTATGAAGTATTGAAAAAACATGGATAGTATTGCACTTTACACCAACTAATCTATTTATACTGTGGTATCACGAACAATTAACTACGTTTAACAAGCGGCAATTCAGGTTATGTTAAAAGTAAAAATAAATTGTGTTTGTATTATCACTTCAAAGTCACTTCGTTCAGTCTTTTACCAAAATCAGCTTTATCTTAAGAAATACTAGCCCCGCCCGCCCACCCTTTATTTTCTTAGGGATTAAGTCATTTACCAAAGTCAGTCCTATCTTGTCAGGTACTGGTGCCGCCCACTCGCGTTGTTCTCATTCTATCGGTTTTATTTTAGTTAATTATATGGTCTTTTGTAAAGTGAGAATGGGAACTAATAAAATTTAGACCGTTAAAAAAAGCGCTAATTATAATTTTAAAAATTATACACTTTTATCTTGGATGAATAAGTTTTATTTTCTTAACTGACTTACACCTTTGAACCAAAGATAACTACACATAGTTTTCGGCAGCAGTTGGTAATTCCCCGAACCGCGAATCAGGTTTACCAGCACCAGCCACGTCCTTAACGCCTTTGAATTTCATTAAAATTTGTTCCAGTTGGACTGGAGCTACCTGCCAAGACTTGTATTTAATAAGGTCTTTAATCCTTCCAGTTATATAAAAACAGCCATCGTCGTCATAATAACCAACGTCTCCGCTATGAAGAAATCCTCCCGAATCGATTATTTCTTGGGTTTTTTCAACATTTTTCAGATACCCTTTCATAATCTGACCTTTAATACGAATTTCTCCATGTTGAAAAGGAGGAAGAGCGTGTCCTTTTTCCATTATTTCGCTATGAAAATCTGTATCATCACCGTCATTTTCAAATTCAGATTCTGAATCAGATTCACCTAGCGAAATAATGAAAGGAGGTATAGATTCGTACGAAAGATTTCCCATATTTTTTCCCAATCTGCCAAAATAAGTTTTTCACGATGTTTACAAAAATTTTGCCACATGCTTGGAGTACCTTTGGAAAGCGCCTCAAGCCATAAATTCTCCACCCTATTTTTTAATGAAGGTTGAGAATTTATATGCTTGTTGTAATAGTTCTTACAAAATTCTCACGCCATTTCAAATGGATTATATTGACAATGGTACGGAGGTAATCTAAGAACTTCATGGCCACTTTCTCTTAATGTCTCGTCTACCAAATATCTTTTTTTTCTATTGTTTCTGAAGGGTTTAATTACATCCCACAACTGTTTCTTCAAAAATTTTTTGGCAAATTCAACACTATATTTAAAGAGCCATTCCTGCATTTCACATTTTTGGTTCAACTTTGCCAAAGCAGGAATGAGCTGATTAACCACCCAATTTTGAAAAATTGTCCCGTCCATCGTTTTATGATAGTCTCTATCGTTATTTTTTGAATTTAAAAAATTGTCACAACCATCCAAGAACCCCGTTGAACAACCCGCGTGGAGAATAGTAAACCTTGATCCTTCACTTTTAATTTTGGTGGGATTGCTTTTTAGATCAGTATCGTGCACCCAGCGACGAATGGACGAACCATTTTGATAGATCCATACACGAAAGTCAAATTTTCACAAGAATTTAGAAACTGTAAATATGTTCTCAAAAAAATAATTTTGGCTGCAACGACATGCTGTGCCCTCTGATAAAATAGAGAGGGCGTAAAGACAGTTATATTGCAATTAGTGTATTTAGTTTTAATTTTTTTCTAAAAATTCTGGATGTCCAGGGTGAAAATTCGACACGGATCCACACACCACAAGTACAAGAGTATCTTATCTTATAAAATTAGAAATACTTTTAATTATAAATTTTGGAGGTGACGTCATCAAGTTGTTGGTGGGGATGATTAGCCAAATTTTGGTTAGTATTTAACCATCTCATGATATTTCAAACTACTTCAAAATCTAACAAAAGGATTTCCCGAGATTCTTTCGAACTACTCCAAAAATAAAACAAAAGTAGTGTCCGAGATTTTTTCAAACTACTTTAAATACCAGACACAAAAGGGGTCCTCGAGATTCTTTTAAACTACTTCAAAAAAAAAAAACAAAAGTGACCCCCGAGATTCTTTCAAACTACTTTAAAAACTAGACATAAAAGATCGCCGAGATTCTATCAAACAACTTCAAATTCTAACAAAAAGGGTCCCCAAGATTCTTTAGAACTACCTACTTCAAAGACCAGACACAAAAGTTCCCCAAGATTTTATTAAACTACTTCAAAAATAAAACAGAAGTGACCCCCGAGATTATTTCAAACTACTTTAAAAAACCAGACACAAAAGATCCCCGAGATTCTATCAAACAACTTCAAAATCTAACAAAAAGGGTCCCCGAGATTCTTTAGAACTACCTACTTCAAAAACAAAACAAAAGTGGTCCCCGAGATTTTTCAAACTGCATACTTCAAAAACCAGACACAAAAGTTCCCCAAGATTTTATTAAACTTCTTCAAAATCTAAACAAAAGGGGTCCTCGAGATTCTTTTAAACTACTTCAAAAATAAAACAAAAGTGACCCCCAAGATTCTTTCAAACTACTTCAAAAACCAGACACAAAAGATCCCCGAGATTTTTTTCAAACTACTTCAAAAAGCAGACACAAAAGTTCCTCAAGATTTTATCAAACTACTTCGAAAACCAGACACGAAAGACCACCGAGATTCTATTTCAAAAACAAAACTAAAGTGACTCCCCAGATTCTTTCAAACTACTTCAAAATCTAAACAAAAGGGGTCCCAGAGATTCTTTCCAACTACTCCAAAAACAAAACAAAAGTGACCCCGAGATTCTTTCAAACTACTTTAAAAACCAGACATAAAAGATCCCCGAGATTCTATCAAACAACTTCAAAATCTAACAAAAAGGGTCCCCGAGATTCTTTAGAACTACCTACTTCAAAAACAAAACAAAAATGGTCCCCGTGATTTTTTCAAACTACATACTTCAAAAACCAGACACAAAAGTTCCCCAAGATTTACCAAACTACTTCGAAAACCAGACACAAAAGATTCCCCAGATTCTACTTCAAAAACAAAAGTGACACCCGAGATTCTTTCAAACTACTTCAAAATCTAAACAAAAGGGGTCCCCGAGATTCTTTCAAACTACTTCAAAAACCAGACACAAGAGATCTCCGAGATTCTTTCAAACAACTTCAAAATCTAACAGAAAGGGTCCCCGAGATTCTTTAGAACTACCTACTTCAAAAACAAAACAAAAGTGGTCCCCGAGATTTTTTCAAACTACATACTTCAAAAACCAGACACAAAAGTTCCCAGTATCAAAACAAAAGGAACCCCCGAGATTCTATCAAACTACTTCAAAATCTAACAAAAGGGGTCCCCGAGATTCTACTAGACTACTTCAAATAACTGACACAAGGGGCCCCCAAGATTCTTTCAAACTACTTCAAAAACCAGACACAAACGGTCCCCGAGTTTCTTTCAAACTACTTCAAAAACAATACACATAAACATCCCCGAGATTTTTTCAAACTGCTTCAAAAACAAGGCAAGAGATCTCTGAAATTCTTTCAAATTATGTACTTCAAAAACAAAACGAAACGTATCCCCCAGATTTTTTCAAACTACTTCAAAAACCGGACACAAAAGGTTTTATTTTACCACACCACAACAGTATACAACAAATAATATAAATCCAAACAACACAATCTTCTAATTTAATCAATAAACAGTTGTTTTATCAATTCCTGGCGCTTTATTTTTCCCAAATTATTTTTGGGAATGTCTTCAACAAATCGGACGCCTCCATGTAAACGCTTCTCTTCACTGACAAACTTTGCCAAGTAGTCACAGATTTCTTTCTCTGTAACTTCAACACCGTCTTCCTTTACAACCGCGGCAGTTGGTAATTCCCCGAATCGCGAATCAGGCTTACCAACTACAGCGACATCTTTAATCCCTTTCAATTTGCTTAAAATTTGCTCCAGTTCGACTGGAGCTACCTGCCAAGATTTGTATTTAATAAGTTCTTTAATCCTTCCACTAATGTAAACATAGCCATCGTCGTCATAATAACCCACGTCCCCGCTATGAAGGAAGCCTTCCGAGTCAATAATTTCCTTGGTTTTTTCAGGATTTTTGAGATATCCTTTCATAATACGACCTTTGAAGCAAAGCTCTCCGTTTTGAAGAGGAGGAAGAGCGTGACCTTTTTCCAAATCAACGATTTTGGTTTGGTAGCCGCAGAGAACTTTGCCAACACTGGTGGGGTTATCGTAGGCAAATAAAGTAATCCCTATTTCGGTCATTCCATAACCGTTCCCTAGTCGCTCTAAATTGAACCTAAAATAGTGTCAAATAACAACTAAATTAAAAAAATAATAATTATGTACCTATTTTTTAAAACGGTTGCGTCCTCTTCGGGTAAACACGACCCTCCACAGTAAACGCGTCTAAGACTCGACAAATCATATCTTGTAATTAATGGACTCCTAACAAAAAAGTTAACCAAAGTGGGGACTAGCAACAACGCTTCCACTTTATAGTTCTGGACCGTTTTCAAAAAAAGATCCGGCTCAAAAGTGTCAAATGGGATTATAATCGTCCCGATAAACAAACTCCCGTTGACAATACTCAACCCGTAGCTGTGGCTAAATGGCAGAATTAGGGGAAATTTGTCTCCAGTTTTCATATCAAAAAAATCCGGGTTCCTTCCATTGATAAAGTGCAATCGCAACATCTCGTGGTTAACCATGACCCCTTTTGGCAAACTGGTGGTCCCCGACGAGTTGCAAATCACCGCGATGTGTTCTTCAGTGTCAAAGTTGTCTTCGACCTGAAAGTCGCTTTCGTGTGAGCACGCAGACGAGATTTTTTCTACGTCCAAACAAATCAGCGTTTTGATGTAGTCTAAATCTTTCACGACCTCTCTGGCTTTGTGGTGGGTTTTTTTCGTACAAATTAACACACTCGGCTCGGATAAACCCAAAACGTGGCTTAATTCGTCTGAAATTTTTATAACTATAGAAGTGATAAATAGTTTGTGGGATTAATAAAACCTACACGGTGTGAACTTAGAATTGATTAGATGTACAGGTGCTGCGATAAATAAACTTGCCAGATATGCAACCAAGAACTCCGCCGAGTTTTCAGCCACCAGACCGACGATATCACCCTTCGAAACTCCCAAAATTCGAAGACTCGTCGCTAGATTTTTACTCATTTGGCACAACTGGGTGTACGTGAGGGAAACCCCGGTGGCGGCATTCACCTAAATTCATTTTGCAAAATTGAAAACGCGGCGTTAGATTTCTTACCACAGCGATGGCGTTTTTGTCGAAGGTACTAAAGGCGTCCAGGAGTAATTTTCCGATGGGTTTATGCGGGATTCCCCAAGTGTCTTCGGGTCCATTTAGCACGAACTTGTCCATCGAAGCGACTTTTATTCAAACTGAATTATATTTACATTTTACTTGATATTTGTTACGTTATTATTGGCATTTTTGTATTTATAAAAGCGTTTCTATGTTTGTTATTGCAATAATAATTTAATCAAAAAATGAGATAAACAGCGTGTATAAAATAAAAGGAAAACTCTGTTATTTTGTAATATTGCAAACGAGTGGTAATTATTGTTAACTTATAGACACATCACTTAAACCCACTTAACTTAATTCAAAATCACTTTTAAAAATTACTACGATAGAAGTTTACAAAGTATTTAGTTTTATCTTAAACGTGTTGTGGCTTTCTTGTGAAAAAGTGCATTTTGAGCTTGTAAGTATAACGGTATCTTTGCACTTTTGGACTTAGGTCATCGTTAATTTTGAACACTATTTTCGGACTCTCCTCTCATAGCGAAGTGTACAGTACTAAGAAATAGGTCTCCCGTTTCCGTCTGTGTGTCTGTTCGTCTGTCCGTCTGTCCGTAGGCCCCTGCGCAAGATAAAATGGGCTCCGTCAAGGTCCGTCGGTATTCAGCGTTTACAAATAAAACAACAATAAACATTGCGTAAACAAATTTATTCTATTTTATAAATTCATTATCACAGAACCGTCTCATTTTTTTTAATACTACAACATAAAGCTAGTTTAGATAATCTAAAGCCATCCGTCCAAACTGATCACGCGTATCTTCTTTACACCCTAAACGAATCAAAAGCTCGTAAGTCCCCCTTTGTCCCTTCCTAGCGGCACAATGCAGCCCTGTAAACCCATTACAATTCTTCACATTGACGTCAAACCCCAATTCCTTAACAATGAATTCAACCACATCGCTATAACCCGCACTACTCGCTAAATGCAATAAACTAAAATCAACATTATTCGTACAATGTAAGTCAGCCCCATTTTCAATCAATCTTCGACACACTTCCACGTGCCTCCCTAGTACCCCTTCATGCAGCGGCGTGTTCCCGCAATTGTCTCTCGCATTGACATCCAACCCCACTTTCAACAAAACCTCCACTACTTCAAGACTTCCATGTAAAGCCGCTACATGTAACACACTCCTTCCATTATTAGTACGAACTCCACAGTCGCCCCCTTTCTCCACTAACAACCCAAAAATGGCACCGCTGCCTTCACGCGCCGCCAAATGCATGCACGTCCACCCGTCTTTGTTACAGTAGTTGATTAAGCCCCCATTTTCCACCAAAACGCGTACAGTCTCGAGACACTTTTTCGTGCAAGCTAGCATCAAGGGGGTCCAATCGGCCCGCTTGAGCGCGTTAATTTGCGCCCCTTTTTCGAGCAGGAGCCGCACGACCGCCGGCTGGGAGAACTGAGCGGCTTCATGGAGGGCTGTCTTGTCGTCGTTGTTCTTGCAGTCGACGCCTGAGGGGGTGTACGATAGCAAGTACTCGACGGTGGAGAGGTGCCCCAAACGGGCGGCACAGTGCAAGAGGGTGTCCCCCGAATCCTGGTACTTGAGGGAGCTCCAGTGAAAATGGGGGCTGCGCTGCTGCAGGGCCGTGATTGTTGTGAGGTCGCCAGATTGGGCTTGTTTGAGGATTTTGGCGATTTCGCGGCGAGAAGGCGCTGACTCGGGCATCTGGGCACAAATCGGGGCTACGCGGTAACAAAAAGTAGGTTTGAGGTTATGTGGCGCGATTTCGAGGTTATGTAAAGCGCGCCTTTTTCAAAAATATTACGAGCTGAAAACTGACTGCTGATAATGCAAATTTTACAATACAAGACAATTAATAATTAAAATGCTTAAATAAGTTACATTAATATTTTAAAACATTTTAAAAGTTTTCCAATTTTTGTTACGAAACCAAAGCCTTTTTTGTTATCGCTGCATTTATTGGCTTTTATGTATGTGTAAAAGCAAAGTAATGACGCTTGTTATCGCTAATGAGTACACTTTTATTTTTACAAATGTTTAACATATAATCTTCACCTTATCAGGTATTGAGTGTACAGTTGGTTGCATAACGTCACAGATCCGGTTATCGCCGCACGAAATCCACGTATCTCTAAATTATCTTTGCGTGTTTTATGAGGTCTTTCCCCTCATGTACTCTAAACCGCAACCCCTAAATTCGATGATTCACTTATAAAATATTTAATCGATTTTTTCCGGTGGCGCCCTAACCTCACGATCACGTCCTCCGCTTAATGTCGCCGAAACCGGTTCTAAAAAATTCTGTTTCGTAAAAATTCCACTCGTTCGTTATCGCTTTGCCCTCACCTGATAGTTTTTGCAAATTCGGTGACTCACAATTCCTCTTCATCGCAAACAAATTTTTTGTCTGAGTGTCACGCGTCATAATCACAGTACGCGATCAAAATGACATGAGTAATTCGAGGGTGTTGTCTGTTTTCCGTTTAAATTCCAAATTAAAACATTGCCGGCTGTAGACCAGCTCGTATAGGTTAAGTTAAGAATATGTTCTTTTAGTATTTAGTGAATATCCAGTGAATTGAACGCGAAAAGAATGGCAGGGCTGTACCGAACGGTGATGGATACTTTTTGGAGCGAGTACATTTGGCTGCCCCCGAACACCACATGGCAGGACATAGCCCCCGACTCCAGCTCCCACATCCAGCACGCGGACTACAGGCACCTCCTGTACCCCCTGCCCATGGCGCTAATCATGCTCAGCCTGCGCTACGTGCTCGAGAAGTAATTTGAGGTTATGTCGCTCCGCCCCACAAAACTCCCCAATTCGCTTGCAGGTACTGGTTCGCGCCCGTCGGCATCTCGCTCGGGATCAAAAACACGAAACCAAAGAAAGCCCCCCCGAACCACGTGCTGGAGAAGGCGTACACCACTTCGAAGAAGTGGAAGCACAAACAGGTAGGCCCCATTTCTCCCCGGCGCCCTCACGCCTTCTTTCACGTTGCAGCTGCAGGGTCTGGCTAAGCAAGTGGACATGTCGGAGCGCCAGGTGGAGCGCTGGCTGCGGCTCCGCAAGGGCCAGAACAAGCCCTCGACCCTGACCAAGTTCTGCGAGAACTCGTGGAGGTGCCTCTACTACACCTCCAGCTTCGTGTACGGCGTCGTCGTGCTCTGGAACAAGCCCTGGTTGTGGAGCATCAACGAGTGCTGGTGAGTCAACACTAACCGTGTCAAGGCTAAACAATCACTCTGGGAAAACAGATTTTATTGTCAGGTTATTTGCTATTACATTCAGTCTTTTTGCGGCGCACTCGGAAGGAGAGGCTGCGGTTTTTGCGGACGGGTTTCTTGTCGGGCGCCGGGGGCGGCTGCAGGTTCTCGTTGGAGGCGACTCTGGTGGGCCGCCGCAGGTGGGACGCGTCGCCCTGGTCGTAGATGTCGGGGGGCGGCTTCGGCCGGACGATGAAGGATTTCGCACGCTGGAGCATGGCGGCAGACGGCGATTTTTCGGTTTTTATCGTAACTAATGTTATCTGGGTTTGTTTGATATAATCTTAAATTGGCGAGTTTTGTTGCGGATAGTTGCGATTGATAAGGTCAGGTGACGGTACGATTCGTACGATTTCACGATGATTCACTTTCGTGGATTATTGTTTTGACGGAGATAAATATTTAGCATTCAAGATTCTCATTCCCTATAAAAGTCGATGACGTCACAATCTGTCACTACACTCTGACCAGTGGCGTAGCAATAATGAAACTCAGGATTTAGATTACTAGATTAATAAAGTTTCCTTCCCCTAAATTCGCAAGTGGACGGACCCGGACGGTTTTATGTTAACGGCGACGTTTCATTGGCGCGTTCGTCTTAAAGTAAGTTTATTTTAACAATCTGTGACTAGATACAGTACATATCAGTCAACATGTTAATATAAAGTAAATACTTGATTGGTATAAAACATACGTTCGCACGACCTCCGTTATATTTGCGAAATATTAGTTTTAAGCGTTTTAACCTCGTGTTTTGGCTAATGCAAGTACCAATCGCAAGAAAAAAAATATATATTTCGACGTTATCATTGTTGTTATGTTTCAATGTCTTTCCAAATGGATGAAAGCGGCTTACAGACATGTAATTATAGACTAGGTTGAGTATACGCTTTTAAGCGTCTAAAAATAGGTAGGGGGTCATTAAGCACCCATACAATGGTAGAAATTGTTTTTAATATTTGTACATTTTTTTGTACATTCATCTGTTTTTACTTAAATTACAGTAATTTGTTATAGGGTTGTTAACCCATTTACAAATAATGGTGTTTTTTACTGTTGTTGCTACACTTAAGTCACATCGACGTGCTCTTAATTAGATATTGTATTATTCGTAAATTACGCCATTTGTCGTCGAAAGATACGTTATCTGAAAAAGTGTTTGTATGAAACGACTAATTAACTTTTATTGCGTAACCCAGACGCAAATTATGGGTTCATGTGGGCTAATAACATCTTAATGTGGGACTTAATATTGTACACTTCCGATGAATAAATTGATAATTTTTTCGTTTTTTACTGGTTTTGCTTAACGAGCGCTGATTTTATGGTTACGTGTTTAATTATAACCAAGTCATAGTGGGTGATTACCCGCTTCTACTTTTAACCGAATATTAAGAAGTAAAAGAACTACCCTAACTGGAAACAAAGTTGCCAAATACTCTCCCTAGACACGTAGAAGCCGGTCCTGCTTCCTGATTTGGGGGTGCTTGGCTCATTTTGCGAAAACGAACCTAAAGAAAAGGTAACGTATGGACAGTACGCCTACGGGCATGGAGAGAGGGTGGAGAAGGTCAGTTCGCCCCACAGCGTACGAAGAAATTCCGCCATTACGTCATTCTGAACTGTCAACGTAACGTCAACGGAGGCAAAGCTTGCTTTGTTTTTATTTTTGATGCAGGGGCGGCTCGTCGAATTTTATAAAAGCGAAATAAAGAGTATTTTATCGTAGGGTTCAGTTTCATAAAAACGTGCATCAATGTTAAAATAAGTGTCACAGTGATGTAGATATTGACAGTTTTTGTTGATAGATTTCGGACGCAACTTGATAATTTTTGGGAGGATTTGAAAAGAAGATAAATTAAAAATGTCAAAACAAGTAGCTTAAGTAATTTCGACTTAAGTAAAACAACTTAAAGAACTGAAGTACGTTATTATAACTTAGGTAATTATTATTAATATAGATATATAGCTATTAATATAATGACTATCATAAGATTTGTAGTAGTCGAGAGCATGTCAGGATACAAAGCGTTAACCACCTCGATGAAAAGTAAACTTGACATTGAGGTTATGTTGTCAACGTGCGCTTCCCTAAAGGTCGATTTATAAACTTGCCGCTGACGTTGCTGTTCGCCGTTACGTTGACGTTGGGTGTTCAACCAATGAAATTGCGGTAGTGTGCGGTGCTGCCAACTTGAAGAAAAATCTCCTGAAGTACATTTTTCCGTTCACGGAAACCCTAATATTTTAAATAGCTGCCATCACATTCGAGCTTGGGATGGATATGGGTGGAGCTTAATTTTTGGTTTCTCTTTGCCTACTCAAAGACATGTTTTTTATTTCTTGTAGAGAAATAAGGATTTTGGAGTTAACCTCCGCCCCCTTGGCTCACGACAAAAAAAAATCATCACAATTGAGATAGGGCGGGTGGGCGGGGCTTACTTTTTCCCTTGTTTTTAATATGTATAGTCATCTTTTCACAACAAGAAACTTAAAACATGCTCAAGATGGTAAATTTGTATAGAGAAATACCGATCTTCCAATTACGCTCCGCCCCTCGATCTGACAACGAATGAAAAATTCATCACGATTGAGATCGAGACGGATGGGTGGTGGTTCTCTTTTAGTTTTCTTTGCATAACACGATTACTTAAGAACATTTCACATGGTAATTTCTCATAGAAAAATAAGGATTTTACAATTACGCTCCGCCTCTCGGCTTACGACGAATAAAAAAAAAATTAGAATTCAGATAGGGCGGGGCTTATATTTTGCTTTTTTTTTATAATATATGTAGCCATCTTTTCACAACAAGAATTTTAAAACATGGTTAAAATGGTACATTTTTGCAAGGACATATGGATGTTGCAGTTATGGGGCGGAGCCTAATTGCTAATATATTTCCTTATACAAATTTCCCATTTTAAACATCTTTTCAGTTTCATGTTGTGAAAGGAAGTGTACACATATTAAAACAAAAAGGCAAAATGTAAGCCCGCCCACCCACCCTGTCTCTATTGTGATGATTTTTTTTATTCACCGTGAACCAAAAGGGCGAAGCTTAACTGCAAAGTACTCATTTTTTTCCAAGAAATTAAGAACATGTTTTTGAGTATCATGTTGTACTAAGAATACTATGTATATTAAGAAAACAAGGCAAAATATGAACCCCGCCCACCCACCCCATCCCAATTGTGATGATTTTTTTTATTCTTAGAAACTTGAGACAGGTTTAAAATGGTAATTTTTTGTAAGGAATTTATGGATTTTGCAATTAGGCTCCGCCCCTAGATCTGCCAACGAATAAAAACTTCATTACTTTTTAGATTAGGACAGGAATGGGTGGGGCTTAATCTTTGGCTTTAATTTCTTCTTAACGTATTCTTGTTGTACACTTTGAATAACACGATACTCAAAAACAGGTCTTACATTGTAATTTCTTGTAGAGAAATAATAAGGATTTTGCAATTAATTTCCGCTCCTTTGGCTCTCGACGATTAAAAAAATCATCACAATTGAGATAGGGCGGGTGGGCGGGGCTTATATTTTGCCTTTTTTCTTAATATACGTAGTCGTCTTTTCAGAACAAGAAACTTAAAACATGTTTAAAATGGTAAATTCTTGTACACAAATATGGATCTTGCAATTAAGCCCCGCCCTTCGATCTGACAACTAATGAAAAATTCATCAGAATTGAGAATTGAGTTCGGGGCGGCTGTGGGTGGAGCCTAATATTTGGCTTCACCTTTTTTCTTGATATACATAGTATTCTTTGAACAACACGATGCTCAAAAACATGTTTTTAATTTTTCGTAGAGAAATAGGTATTTTGCAGTTAAGCTCCGCCCTCTTGGCTCACGACGAATAAAAAAATCATCACAATTGAGACAGGGTGGGTGGGCGGGGCAATATTTTGCCTTTTTTTCTTAATATGTGTAGTCATCTTTTCACAACAAGAAACTTAAAACATATTTAAAATGGTAAATTTGTATTGGGAAATACCGATTTTGCAATTACGCTCCACCCTTCGGTCTGACAACGAATGAAAAATTCATCAAGATTGAGATCGACACGGTTGGGTGGGGCTTCTTTTTTGGTTTTCGTCTTTAATTAATACATTTAGTTTTCTTTGTATAACACGAGGACTTAAGAACAAACATATTTCACATGGTCATTTCTCGTAGAAAAATAAGGATTTTATAATTAAACCCCGTCCCCTTGGCTTACGACGAATAAAAAAAATCATCAGAATTGAGATAGGGTGGGCGGGCGGGGCTTATATTTTGCCTTTTTTTTAATATACATAGCCATCTTTTCATAACAAGGAACTTAAAACATGATTAAAATGCTACATTTTTGCAAGGAAATATGGATTTCGCAATTATGGAGCGGAGTCTAATTACAAAATGAATATTTCCTTATACAAATTTTCCATTTTAAACATGTTTTCAGTTTCATGTTATGAAAAGAAGTGTACACATATTAAAACAAAAAGGCAAAATGTAAGCCCGCCCACCCACCCTGTCTCTATTGTGATTATTTTTTTATTCATCGTGAACCAAGAGGGCGGAGCTTAACTGCAAAATACATGTTTTTGAGTATCGTGTTGTTCAAAGAATGCTATATTTAAAAAAAAGCCAAACTATTAAAACATCTCAATTGTGATGATTTTTTTCATTCTTAAAAACTTAAGACACGTTTAAAATGGTAATTTTTTGTAAGGAATTGTGGATTTTACAATTAAGCCCCGCCCCTCGATCTGGCAACGAATGAAAAATTCATCACAATTGAGAATTGATATCGGGGCGGGTATGGGTGGGGCCTAATCTTTGGCTTTATTTTTTTTCTATTATACATAGCCTTCTTTGAACAATCCGAGACTCAAAACCATGTTTTTAATTTCATTTCTTGTAAAGAAATCCGGATTTTGCAGTTAAGCTTGGCTGACGACTAAAAGAAAAATCATCACAATTAAGATAGGGCGGGTGGGCGGGGCTACATTTTGTCTTTTTTTTTCTCAATATGTGTAGTCATCTTTTCACAACAAGAAACTTTTTAGAGAAGAAAATGGTAAATTTGTATAGGGAAATACCGATTTTGCAATTACGCTCCACCCCTCGGTCTGACAACGAATGAAAAATTCATCACGATTGAGATCGACACGGATGGGTGGGGATTCTCTTTTGGTTTTCTTTTTTAATTAATACATTTAGTTTTCTTATACGATCACTTAAGAACATATTTCACATGGTTATTTCTCGTAGAAAAATAAGGATTTTACAATTACGCTCCGCCTCTCGGCTTACGACGAATAAAAAAAAATTATTAGAATTGAGATTGGGCGGGGCTTATATTTTGCTTTTTTTCATCATTTATATAGCCATCTTTTCACAACAAAAAATTTAAAACATGGTTAAAATCGTACATTTTTGCAAGGAAGTATGGATTTTGCATTTTTGGGGCGGAGCCTAATTGCTAATTGATATTTCCTTACACAAATTTTCTATTTTAAACATGCTTTCAGTTTCATGTTGTGAAAAGAAGTCTACACATATTAAAACAAAAAGGCAAAATATATGCCCGCCCACCCACCCTGTCTCTATTGTGATGATTTTTTTTATTCACCATGAAGCAAGAGGGCGGAGCTTAACTGCAAAATACTTATTTCTTTACAAGAAATTAAAAACATGTTTTTTAGTATCGTGTTGTTCAAAGAATACTATGTATATTAGGAAAAAAAGCCAAAATATTAACTCCGCCCACCCACCCTATCTCAATTGTGATGATTTTTTCATTCTTAAAAATTTAAGACACGTTTAAAATGGTAATTTTTTGTAAGGAATTATGGGGCAGGTATGGGTAGGGCTTAATCTTTGCCTTGAGTTTTTTCTTAATATACATAGTGTTCTTTGAATAATACGATACCCAAAAACATGTCTTACATGGTAATTTCTTGTAGAGAAATAACAAAGATTTTGCAATTTAATTCCGCTCCTTTGGATCTCGACAATTAAAAAAAATCATCACAATTGAGATAAGGTGGGTGGGCGGGGCTTATATTTTGCCTTTTTTCTTGATATACGTAGTCGCCTTTTCAGAACAACAAACTCAAAACATGTTTGAAATGGTAAATTCTTCTAAACAAATGTGGAGCTTGCAATTAAGCCCCGCCCCTCGATCTGACAACGAATGAAAAATTTATCACAATTGATAATTGAGATCGGGGCGGGTATGGGTGGGGCCTGATCTTTGGCTATATTTTTTTCTATTATACATAGTATTCTTTGAACAACCCGATACTCAAAAACATGCTTTTAATTTCTCCTAGAGAAATAAGGATTTTGCAGTTAAGCTCCACCCCCTTGGCTGACGACGAATAAAGAAATCAACACAATTGAGACAGGGTGGGTGGGCGGGGCATATATTTTGCCTTTTTTTCCTTAATATGTGTAGTCATCTTTTCACAACAAGAAACTTAAAACACGTTTAAAATGGCAAATTTGTATAGGGAAATACCGATTTTGAATTACGCTCCGCCCCTCGGTCTGACAACGAATGAAAAATTCGTCACAATTGAGAATTGAGATCGGGGCGGGTATGGGTGGGGCCTAATCTTTGGCTATATTTTTTTCTATTATACATAGTATTCTTTGAACAACCCGATACTCAAAAACATGTTTTTAATTTCTCCTAGAGAAATCAGGATTTTGCAGTTAAGCTCCACCCCCTTGGCTGACGACGAATAAAAAAATCAACACAATTGAGACAGGGTGGGTGGGCGGGGCATATATTTTGCATTTACATAGTATTCTTTGAACAACCCGATACTCAAAAACATGTTTTTGATTTCTCCTAGAGAAATAAGGATTTTGCAGTTAAGCTCCACCCCCTTGGCTGACGACGAATAAAAAAATCATCACAATTGCGACAGGGTGGGTGGGCGAGGCATATATTTTGCCTTTTTTCCTTAATATGTGTAGTCATCTTTTCACAACAAGAAACTCTGTCTAACGTTAGATGTACCGGAAAAAATTTCACATTTTAATAAAGTTCATCAGAATCCGAAAAACTTGAGTTCAATATTATTTACTGATCGAGAAGAAAAAAGGAAAAAAACGGTTATTTCTCGTAGAAAAATAAGGATTGTACAATTAAGCTCCGCCCCTCGACTTAAGACGAATAAAAAAATCATCAGAATTGAGATAGGGTGGGTGGGCGGGGCTTATATTTGCGGGTGTTTTTTTTTACTTAATATACATAGCCATCTTTTCACAATAAGAAACTTAAAACATGGTTAAAATGCTACATTTTTGCAAGGAAATATGGATTTTGTGATTATGGGGCGGAGTCTAATTGCAAAATCGATATTTCCTTATACAAATTTTCCAATTTAAACATGTTTGAAGTTTCATGTTGTGAAAAGAAGTCTACACATAAAACAAAAAGGCAAAATGTAAGCCCGCCCACCCGCCCTATCTAAATTGTGATAATTTTTTTTATTCACCGTGAACCAAGAGGGCGGAGCTTAACTGCAAAATACTCATTTCTTTCCAAGGAATTAAGAACATGTTTTTGAGTATCGTGTTGTTCAAAGAATACTATGTATACATATTAGGAAAAAAGCCAAAATATTAACCCCGCCCATCCACCCCATCTCAATTGTGATAATTTTTTTAATTCTTAAAAACTTAAGACACGTTTAAAATGGTAATTTTTTGTAAGAAATTATGGATTTTGCAATTAGGCTCCGCCCCTAGGTCTGTCAACGAATGAAAACTTCATTACTATTTAAATCAGCGCAGGTATGGGTAGGGCTTAATCTTTGGCTTGAATTTTTGTTAATATACACAGTATTCTTTGAATAATACGATACTCAAAAACATGTCTTACATGGTAATTTCTTGTAGAGAAATAATAAGGATTTTGCAATTCAGATAGGGCGGGTGGGCGGGGCTTATATTTTACCTTTTTTCTTGATATACGTAGTCGTCTTTTCAGGACAAGAAACTTAAAACATGTTTAAAATGGTAAATTCTTGTAGACAAATATGGATCTTGCAATTAAGCTCCGCCCCTCGATCTGACAACGAATGAAAAACTCATAACAATTGAGAATTGAAATCGGGACGGGTATGGGTGGGGCCTAATCTTTGGCTTTATTTTTTCCTATTATACATAGTCTTCCTTGAACAACACGATACTCAAAAACAAGTTTTTAATATCTCCGAGATAAATAAGGATCTGGAGTTAAGCTCCGCCTCCTTGGCTGCTGACGAATAATAATAAAAATCATCACAATTGATATTGGGCGGGGTGTCAGTTTGCCTTTTTTTTTCTTAATATATATAGCCATCTTTTCATAACAACAAATTTAAAACATGGTTAAAATGGTACATTTTTCCAAGGAAAAATCCAATTATGGGGCGGAGTCTAAATTGCAAAATCGATATTTCCGTATACAAATTTACCATTTTAAACATGTTTTAACTTTTATGTTGTGAAAACAATTCTACACATATTAAAACAAAAATGCAAAATGTAAGCCGCCCGCCCACCCTATCTCAATTGTGATGATTTTTTTTATTCGCCTTGAACCAAGGGGGCGAAGCTTTAAGTCTATTGTTGTTGAAACAAGTCTACACATATTAAGAAAAAAAAAAGGCAAAATATATGTCCCGCCCACCCACCCTATCTCAATTGTGATGATTTTTTTATTCGTCGTAAGCCAAGAGGGTGAAGCTTGACTGCAACATACTTATTTCTTTACAAGAAATTAAAAACAGGGTTTTGAGTTCGTGTTGTACAAAGAATACAATGTATATTAAGAAGTAAAGCCAAAATATTAACCCCGCCCACCCACCCCATCTCAATTGTGATGCTTTTTTTTATTCTTAGATACTTAAAACACGTTTAAAATGGTAATTTCTTGTAGAGAAATAATAAAGATTTTGCAATTAAAATCCGTTCCTTTGGCTCTCGATGATTAAAAAAAAAAAATCACCGCAATTTAGATAGGGCGGGTGGGCGGGGCTTATAATTTGCCTATTTTCTTAGTATATGTAGTCGTCTTTTCGGAACAAAAAACTTAAAACATGTTTCTTGTATATAAATATGGATCTCAGAATTGAGGATTGAGATCGGGGCGGGTATGGGTGGAGCCTAATCTTTGGCTTCATTTTTTTCTTGATATATATTGTATTCTTTGAACAACACGATTCTCAAAAACATGTTTTTAATTTCTCGTAGAGAAATAAGGATTTTGCAGTTAAGCTACGCCCCCTTGGCTCACGACGAATACAAAAAAATCATCACAATTGAGATAGGGTGGGTGGGCGGGGCTACATTTTGCCTTTGTTTCTTAATTTGTGTAGACTTTTTTAGACAACAAGAAACCTAAAACATGTCTTAAATGGTAAATTTTTCTAGTAATCCACGTTTCTTCTACAACCCCTTTAAATACGGCAAAAGCTCTAAAAGCAACGTCAGCGGGAACCGCAACACAAATAAATAATAAACAACGAATATCACTAGGTGAAATTTTCCAATAAAAAATAAAACCTGTGTTTTGCTTAGCTTAAGTAAAATATTGTTGTGTCAATAAACGTTTAAATCTCGCATTGTTTTGTTTTGTTTTTTGTGTTTAGGAACGGTTTTCCGCACCAGTCCGTCACGAGCGACATTTGGTGGTACTACATGATCTCGATGTCTTTCTACTGGTCCCTCTGCGTCAGCCAGTTCTTCGACGTAAAACGCAAAGACTTCTGGCAGATGTTCATCCATCACATCGCCACCATCGTCCTAATGTGTCTTTCCTGGGTGGTGAACGTTTTCCGTATAGGTAGCCTCGTCCTAGTCGTCCACGACAGCGCCGACATTTTCCTCGAAGCGGCAAAAATGGCCAAGTATTCCGGATACCAAAAGGTGTGCGACACCATCTTCGGTATATTCACGGTCCTGTGGATCGTGACGAGACTGGGGATTTATCCGTTCTGGATAATAAAAAAGTGAGCGAAAAGGGGGTCGTGGGCGCCGTTTTTAACGCTTTTTTTGCAGTACTTCGATCGACGCGCCGAAGATCGTCCCGATGTTCCCTGCCTACTACATTTTTAACAGTCTGTTGTGTCTTCTGCTAGTTCTTCACTGTTTTTGGACGTACTTGATACTGAAAATCGTTGCGAATTCGCTCAACGCAGGCAAGATGGAGGGGGATATAAGGTCCAGCAGCGACGACTACAGTGCAGATTCTAAATCTCAATGATACATCGTAGGAAATCGGTGTTTTTATCGTACTTGGCAGAGCTTCGGTGGCTTTAAACGTATCGGGCCAGCAACAGTTTGATTTTTTATTTCAACACTACACTTGTACAAAATATTGTTTTTGTACTTATTTATAAAACAAATTTCTCTTTATCTGAACTTACAAGTTATTGTGAATTCTGTTTAGTTACGGTTGTTTATAAATGGAAGTCCAAAGTTTACCAAAAATGTGTTTTGGAGATGTAGGAGTTTTTGTACCTACCTAGTCCACATATCCCGATTTTTAGAAACTTAAGTATATTTTCAGTGGCAAGTGATACAATGGAAAAGGCGATTGAAAAAGTACTCACTGGTGTTCCTTTTTTAACAGCAATATGTTGTGGTTGACACTAATAAACTGGTGATACTGTAGACTTCGTTCTACTTTAAAAATGCACCCTACCGTAAAAATGGTAATAACAAATTTAATGGTTAAATGTTAATTTATGTTTTGTTTACATTATTTTGAAGTTTTCTAACATTGATAATAATTTTTTGTGTGGAACCTTGTAATATTTAGATTAGTAATGGCTTAACTTGTACCACATAATCGAAAAAAAAGTGTCTAGCTACCACTGAAAATTAATGCTAAAAAAATAATTTCGACAAGTCTGACTTTTTAAGAAAAGTTTTTTGTCTAGTGTATGTTGGTGACAATGACATTGTCAACCTTGTACTCACTTGCCATTTGACAGGTAGGAACGTAAATCACCACTGACAGAAAGTGATACCAACTTATAAAATAAAGCTATAAAAGCCCTGTCATCAGTTCTGACCAGCGAAAAGGTAAGTCTCGGGTGTTATTTAACCTATTATTAACTTTCAGCTTTACAGTAAGATGCTTCAAGACTTATACCAGAGTTCTAGAGCTTTTCAGCAAACGTTTTTCCCATGTAAAAATTATAATAAAAACAAGTTAATTCATGTAAATTTATTGAAAACGATTACGTAAAATTATAGTTTGGAAGTGCAAATAATATTTCAGAAAATTTACATTCACGACTTGTCATAAACAGTTTCAAACATCACATCGTTATCATTAACTACAGTGATTATTTCATGTCCCAGATATACATACAAAAATTTGGAACTCACGTTAGCTAAATTAAACAAAAACCAAATTTAATAATCTCCAATTACGTACTTTCCATATTTTGTTCCATTTTTTATTGCATTTATTTCGCCTTATTTTTGGTTTCTGTGTACACGCAATTTACGTTCAACATTATTCCAGTTTAGTAAAAACGCAAAATACCAGTCTGATAAGTTTTTAATTTAGTCGAGAAGGTCCAAAACAGGTTTTTGTCCGTGTGCAGGTATGTGCATTTTTGCAATTCTTTAAGAAGCTGTTTTAATGAATTCGCAGCAAACAAAAAGTTGAACTTGTTTCATATAATTTCAAGGTGTTTTTGCATTGTTTGATACTACATCTTCGGTTGCGTTGAGGGAGATACGCAATTTTAACTTAAATATTCGTTTTTGTTTTTGGGAAGCGTTGTACCAAAATGCCAAAAGCTGTAACTCCAATATCGTTTTAAAAATGAAATTCATAGCTTTTTGGACAAGTTTTTTTTTATTCAAGATTTAAGATCAGTATTCAGTATATGTTTTGTCATTTGCATTCAACACTAGTAAATTTTCCATAAGTTATTTTTCATGAATTTAAAAATAGCACAAAAAATCAATGAATATTTGAAATATTTGATTATAAAATGTAGTAGAGTCATCTCGAGGCACCGATGCAGATCTTTAATTTGCCCCTAAAACTTAAACCCATTTTTGGGCGACAAAAGAGACAAATTTTTCTTCCTTTTCAGCAAGTCTCGTCGTAACCTATCCAACTCTAGTTTGTTTTTGAAATTTTTGAAACGTTATTCCTATTTTATTGAATATTTATTGCAAATTATATTGCAGATAAACAGAGGGACGCTCTTTTTGTGGAATCAATCGAATCAAATCTTAATTTACACAGTGTTTAATAAATAATTCTAAAAATTATATGTTTAGTTGTTTTTAAATTATTACTGCAAAATCCTTATTTCTCTACGAGAAAATAAAAACATGTTTTAAATTTCTTATTGTCGAAATAATTCTACACAAATTAAGACAAAAAGGAAAAATGTAGCCCCGCCCACCCGCCCTATCTCAATTGTGATGATTTTTACTTCCCGAGCGTAAGCAAAGGATGTATTGTAATCGAGTCCGTCGGCCGACTCTCTACTTTTACGTTTTCTCGATCTTTCATGACCCCTAGAAGACGAAGAAATAGGTCTCCCATTTCCGTCTGTCTGTCCGTCTGTCCGTCCGTCTGTCCGTCCGTCCGTCCGTCTGTCCGTCCGTCTGTCCGTCTGTCCGTCTGCCCCCGGATTTTTATTAGACAGATAATCTCCGAAAGTACTCGACCGATTGTTGTGAAATTTTGTACTTATATTAAGAATATCATGTAGATGGTAAAACGCTAACCAAAATTTGTCTAATCATCCCCACCACTAATGCGATGACGTCACTTCAAAATTGTACATAGTAAATGGGTTTTCAATTGTATAAAATAACATAGTCCTACACATGTAGTTTACAACTCTGAATCGACTTTTCACCCGAAACGTCCAGATTTTTGGAAAAAAAATCAAAATTATAAAACAACATTTTGAAATTTAATTTTTAATCTGCTAACCAGAATGCTTTGAAATGTTGCAGATGTTTTAAGGCTATAAAGAGCATCATAAATCTTTAGTCAAAAAATATTTGCTTATCCCCTCCAAAAACTTGATGACGTCAGCTCAAAAGTTTGTGGAATAAATGATATCTAAAATGTACAAAATATGATGAGTCTGTACTTGTGATCTATCACTCCATTCATATTTTTTGGATTTGCATATACAGGGTGACTCAAAAAAATTAATGAATGCGTAAATATATTTTATTGATTTAATCAGGAACTACAAAACCGAATGCTCTGAAATCTTGCAGACGTTTTAAGGTCATAAAGAGCATAATAAATGTTTAGTCAAAATATATTTGCTTATCCCCTCCAAAAACTTGATGACGTCAGCTCGAAAGTTTGCCGAATAAATCATATCTAAAATGTACAAAATATGATGAGCCTGTACTTGTCATTTATCACTCCATTCATATTTTTTGGATTTGCATATACAGAGTGACTCAAAAAAATTAATGAATGCGTAAATATATTTTATTGATTTAATCAGGAACTACAAAACGGAATGCTCTGACATCTTGCAGATGCTTTAAGGTTATAAAGAGCATAATAAATGTTTAATCAAAATATATTTGCTTATCCCCTCCAAAAACTTGATGACGTCAGCTCGAAAATTTGCCGAATAAATCATATCTAAAATGTACAAAATATGATCAGTCTGTACTTGTGATCTATCACTCCATTCATATTTTTTGGATTTGCATATACAGGGTGATTCAAGAAAATAAATGAAAGCGTAAATTTATTTTACTGATTTACTCAGGAACTACAAAACCGAATGCTTCGAAATCTTGAAGATATTTTAAAATTATCATAAGCATGGTAAATTTTTGATCAAAACGTATTTGGTCGTCCCCCCTAAAAAATTTATGATGTCACCACAAAATTTTGCTGAATAAATCCTATCTAAAATGTACAAAATATGGTGAGTCTCTTCTAGTGATTTATCATTCCATTCAAATTTTTTCGATTTGCATATACAGGGTGACTCAAAAAAATTAATGAATGCGTAAATTTATTTTATTGATTTAATCAGGAACTACAAAACCGAATGCTTTGAAATCTTGCAGATGTTTTAAGGTTATAAAGAGCATAATAAATTTTTAGTCAAAATATATTTGGTTATCTTCTACAAAAAACTGATGACGTCAGCTCAAAAGTTTGCCGAATAAATCGTATCTAAAATGTACAAAATATGATGAGTCTGTACTTGTGATTTATCATTCCATTCATATTTTGGATTTATTTTATTGATTAAATTAAAGGCAACACTTATTATTAGTATTACACCCCAACCAACCCAATTTGGTAGACACAAAATTTGTTAAAGGAAAAACTCGGTTGAAACATAAGGGTAGCACACTTATTTACATCGACTTTAACATTACAGACCTGCATTTGTTTTATGCCGTCACTTGGTTCCGCGAATATGGAATAGACATGTTTATAATCAACCAATTGTGAATTTCACCGTCAAGAATTAAAATAAAACCCAATGTTTTATATAATAAGCGGAAGTCGAAGCAATAAAACCGATGGTCGTTTTGTTTACAGTTTCTCTGTTGGACTCTCACGTATGCTGTTACGCTTGTCATCTTAAATTAAGAATGTTTATACATAAACGATTTTCAGTTGCCTTTCATATTACCAGACAGCGGATTTTTGTCGGGCTACGTCACGTTTAATCGGTACTAATTCCATAAATATAATTAACGATTTATTAATCAAACGGCTAAGTAAATGAGAACGGGAATTAACAGCAGAGTGCAACGAAACAGCGTTATTCTAATCTCAAATAAACGAAGTGCAGTCCGCAACCGCAATGAATTCGCATCCCTTAACGAGCCGTACCGAGTTTGGCCTTGCCTAGCCCGACAGAAATCCGCTCTCTAGATATTACACACCGGCGCCGTATACGTGAGTAAATTGTTTCGTTATTTTATTGATTATAAGAAATCAATATTCAAAACGACCCAATTCATTTTCCCGAAAATTTGGGAATACAATAATTTTATTCTTAGTATTACACTACATCTATCCCAACTGAAATACGTGTCCTTGCAAAAATGTTGATGACGTCATCACAATTTTTTTTTAAATTCCCACTACAAAAATGTAATGAGAAAAAAAAACACAATAGACATGCAGTCGTCAAGTTTCCGACAGCGAGGGAAGTACTGTCTAAACTCTTTAGACCAATTTTTGTTTTTGGGAAGCGTTGTACCAAAGTGCCAAAAGCTGTAACTCCAATATCGTTTTAAAAATGAAATTCGTAGCTTTTTGGACAAGTTTTTTTTTTATTCAAGATTTTTTCCCCATCAGCTTAAGATCAGTATATGTTTCGTAATTTGCATTCAACACTACTAAATTTTCCATAAGTTATTTTTCGTAAATTTAAAAATAGCACAAAAAATCAATGAATATTTGAAATATTTGATTATAAAATGTAGTAGAGTCGTTTCGAGGCACCGATGCAGATCTTTAATTTTCCCCTAAAACTTAAACCCATTTTTAGGCGACAAAAGAGACAGAAATTTCTCTTCCTAGGCTATCCAACTCTAGTTTGTTTTTGAAATTTTTGAAACGTTATTCCTATTTTATTGAATATTTATTGCAAATTATATTGCAGATAACCAGAGGGACGCCTTTTTGTAGAATCAATCGAATCAAACTTTAATTTACTTTGTTTAATTTGTTTAATAAATAATTCTAAAAATAATATGTTTATTTGTTTTTAAATTATTACTGCAAAATCCTTATTTCTCTACGAGAAAATAAAAACATGTTTTAAATTTCTTATTGTCGAAATAAGTCTACACAAATTAAGACAAAAAGGAAAAATGTAGCCCCGCCCACTCGCCCTATCTCAATTGTGATGATTTTTTTTATTCGTCGTGAGCCAAGAAGGCGGAGCTTAACTGCAAAATTCTTATTTCTCCACAAGAAATTAAAAACATGTTTTTGAGTATCGTGTTGCTCAAAGAATACTATGTACATTAAGCAAAAAAATAAAGCCAAAGATTAAGCCCCACCCATAATAATGAATTTTTCATTAGTTGGCACACCTAGGGGAGGAGCCTAATTGCAAACTCCATATTTCCGCACATACATTTTGCTTTTTTTTTTTAATACATGTAGACTTCTTTTCACAACATGATAGTTAAAATGTGTTCA